AAATACCTTTGTCCAAAATAATTCTTGCAGGGGAAACCTCTTAAAAAAGAAAGAAACGATGATTTTTCATGGTGGAAACGATACGGTTAAGCTAATACAAACCTATAACGTTGTTCCAGTCCATTACTCTGAATAACGCACGACAAAAAAAATTTTAAGTTTTTTTTTTCACAGGGTAGTATAGCCTTTGAGAGACTCAAAATTTGCAAGTTTCGGGAGCAAACCCTTGCAGATTGTCGTCGTTCACACAGTTCCTCTCCATTATTGTGCTGCACTTAACTTCTAACAAGGGAGGTGCAATTGGTCGATGTAGCCTTTCCAAATGATTCTTATACCACTTTGAAGAGCATCAAACGCTGATTCCAAAGCTGACTTCATTGTTTGCCGAGCGCCTCTGCATGCCCAGTTATGAACATTTTCTTGGTGCGAAAAATGAACGTATAATCTAGGTAAAATCGGATTTTACGGTATTTTCAGCGCTCAAATAGAGCACTGGTAAGTATGGGTGTTAGGAACGGAAGGCACTGTTTAAGTGGAGTGCTTTGCTAATCAACATTGGACCATTTGAGTAATTCTGTGTGAATATTGTGCTAAGATTGCATTTAGTTTTTCAACGTAAAAAATGCTCATAACTTGACTTCCAGAGGCGCTCGGCAGATAACAAAGGCAGATTTGAAATCAGCGTTTGATGCTCTTTATAGCCGTATCAATTTCGTTTGAAAAGGCCACTTCGACCAAATTGACCTCCCTTGTAAGGCTAAAAGTTCATAAAGACATCTGAAAAAAACAGGAAGTACGTCTTTTACCCTTTGTTAGTTCGACAATTACTATTTTTGTAACACTTCAAAAGTGACGTGATGTTAAAGTGCTCAGCTCTGTTATAATCGAGTTCAAAATTCAACAAATGGCCTTATGGCTAGTGAAAAAAATGTTATGAACATCAGCAATTATCAAGTACATTGAAATCGCAGTGATTCACAGCTATTCACAACGGAAAAGAAGAGGTTATGCGTATTTAGGGGACTTGCTTGGATATCAAATTTCCTTCGTATTCTTGAAGCAGCAATCAGCGAATTATTAGGTTGACTAATAAATAAGTTCGGTCGCTTTCAGCTCATACAAATGCTGTAGACAAATTTTTGTCCAATGTTTATTATCTCTGAAAAGAACACTTTACTGGGTATTGGAGCATATATTCTGTTTGAGTAAAACTCATCTTCCCAGGAAAAAATCCGCAAAGAAGTGAAAAATCGCAATTTTCTCATAATGCGCAAATATGAGGAAATTTGGTTTTCTTAGTGAAACATTTTCAAAATTTCAGATCAAAATTCTTCTTGTTGTTCACCATATAGGGATAACTCCTCTGTATTCAAACACCAAGCTGCTGTAATTTACATCCATTACAGCATGAAAACGAAGCTCAAGAAGTCATAGAATTGAGCTTTTGGAAATTTCGCCATGTTGAGGCATAAGTATCTTTACTGACGATGGAAAATCTTGATTTTTTGGATTGTGATAGAGAAAGCTTCGAACTATTTTTCCACAAAAAATCATAGATTGAAAACAAGAAGAAAATTTTTTATGACAACTTGTATGCCAAAACGAACTTACTTTTTAGCCAACCTAATACATTCGCAAATAAGTAGATGAATAAAGAATTGAGTGAATAAGTTATTGGCAGTAAAGCTCAAATTTTTCAGTAGTAAAAATTATTGATAAGATTTTTTTTTGTGCGCCATTTTTCGGAAGTAATAGTCATGAAGCCAATCACTTTGGACGCAAAGTCATATTTAGATGAGATCGTCAGACTTTTTGATTTTTTTCTCATAAAAATACTTTTAGACTTCTGTGACTTGTTTTGTCTCCTTCTTCGCTAAATATACACCCAAGAGTAAGACTAAGCCTTTGTAATTATATATCTAGTTTTTCTAACAATATTTTCTCTTGATTGTTCTATATAAGCTTGTTTGAAGACAAGTTTCGTAAGCACTAATAATTCTCTTCAACGCTCGTTTTTCTTTTCAGCCTATGTTTTTTTCTTAGCGAAATCTCGTTCCTCGCAGAGAATTTCTGAACTTTTATATTCGAAAATTCTATCATCGCAATGGTGCAAATTAGATATCTTTGCCTTCTCAAGTCTTGATTTGAAGCCAAGCAAATAAGAACATCAGCTGCCCTTGCCAACCTTTGTCGCCTCGCCTTAGCGTTTTTATTCGATCGCTATTTACTTCGTAATTTCAGTTCCATTTTGGCTCTTAGTGCCATTATCTTAACTGCCATTTTCCATCTGGTATAAAAAGCTACAGTTGGGCTTTGTCTTCAGAGCATTTCTTTTTTCCACAACGTAATTCACAGTGATGCAGTCATGGGGAGGGAAAAAACCGAGAGAATTGAAAGAATATAATCCTATTAGGGTGTTTTCTTGAGCTTTGAATGGGAATAATTACGTAACAGCTGCGATTCTCATTATGTTAATGTAATACAGCAATCAGCTAATAAAGTGAGATCATCAGTAAAAGCTTACATTTCGTTGGGTCTTCAAATGATCAAAAAGAAACATGCAAGCTCACGCTTTTCTTCCATTTCGACCAATCTTAAATTGCGATTTCACATTTCCGCAAAAATAGAAAGATTCCAAAAATTGCCTGTGACAGATTTTGCTGATCTTATTCTGTCAATATTAATGTAATCATGAATTTCAAATACAATGTTTAGCCAGGGTTCTATGAAGGTAAATAATCCCCAAAAAACACAAATTTGTTTGAAAGTTTATTATTCGGCTGACGTCACTTTTGAAAATCCTCTGCGAAACTTTTAACCCCCTTTTTGTTTTTTCTTTTTCTAAACACTTTGGATTTTTCTAACGTATCTGGTGTTCTTTACTCCAGAAAATAAAATAGTCGAAAAGTTGAGTAAAAGGTCTGTTATTGTTTTTGCTGTTAAAACAAGCAAACCTAGCGTTTTCTCCACATTTCGTTAGCTTATTCTTCTAACAGAATGCTCCATATATGCCAGATGTCAAAGAACGAATTTGGCGCTCCATAAAATCTTATTTCTTTCTCCATAAGCTGAGCGGAAGTCCGCAACTATTTTTCAAAAAAACTGAAATGCAGTGTATGTACTGGATATAAAATCGAGATATAGTTCCCTTTTTTTATGGTTGCTGCATATTTAATTACAAACCACGAAGCTTGAGTGACTACTACTGAGACCGGATTTGGGCAATTTATCCTCCTCCCCCTCCTCCCTCTTCGCAGCATCAGCAGCTCAATGAGCAAAAGCGCTTGAGTGATCTTCAAGCAAGGGCAGATTTATGGCCTTATGTGGGCTCGGAATAGCCTGGCGCTAGCAGATTAACCTGATATCTTCTCATGGTCGAGAGAGCGGACGTTTCATGGCCGTGGTGGCTGCTTCGAAGGCTGTGCCTCCCCGCTTCTGACGCTACCTCCCCTTGCTCGGGGCGACCCGCGATCGATGACCGAGCCCGGGGGCTTTGGCTCTCTCTCATTCACTCATTTCTAGGGGCATGAATTTACATTAGAGTGCAGCTCATGCTCTCGCTGGCTCTGCGCCGATGTCCACCCATCTGGGCACTTCGCCTTTTCCCGGCCTAACTCAGTTGTCTGCGAATGTGTGTGTCTCTCTTCCAACAACAGCCGAAATTAGGTTTTCCCCACTGAGAACCAGGCTCGAAGCTCAAATGAGGGGCTTTCACTGCTTCCGTCTCGTAATCTCTTTATTGCGCTTTTTCTTTGTTTGCAAGTTACTCGCTGCTTCGCTGAACGAGAACAAAGATCAACAACAACACATAAGCTCTGAGTTATTCCTAACAATCTATTCAGTATAAGTATAGCCATTAATCATCACTTCTGGAAGTTAACTTTATATTCCAAAACATAAAACTCACATTTGGCCCGCCTTTCAATGCAGAATTCTCATCTTGTCTGGCTGTACCTGCGTAAAAATCTTTGGAAATATTGTTTTTTTTTTGCAAACTTTGGAGATATCAAATATACCCTTTGCTGACGTGTGCACACTAGTCATCTTTTTTTATGGTTTTCCTCGATTTTGTTCATTGTTTATTTACCAAAAAACTGAAACGGATAAACTATATTTTATGCAGTTTTTACGTGAGAGAACTGCGTTTTACTACCTATCCTAGAAAATGTGCATTTGCACACATTACACGCACATTAACTAAAGGTAACTCGAGAACTTTTTCATACAGCTGATCTGAACTTTTGAAAGATAAAGATACATTATTATTCGAGTAATTATAAGTCATTTACGCAATTTTGTGACCCATGTAGGCTACTTTCAAAAATTTTGTGACTCATCTATTCTCTCCCCTCCCCCCTCGGCCCACTACTGACATTAACGTATTAGTTTCTAGTAAAATACAAACCATTTCTCAGAATTACACCAAGTGGAAAAGATTTTGCCAGTTCGTGCATAAAGGTTAAATTAATGTTTTCCAGTTTTTCAAAGTACTTTTTGCATCCGCACAGCTCCAAATAATTCTTCAATAGAAAAATTCGAGATATTAAATGAGTATTCTCTTTAAACAATTGTATCGAAGTTGTATGCTGAAGCATTAGATATACATAAACTATGACGTGTTTCTTTGTTAGAGGAATTTAATTTTCTGTACTTTTGTTTGCTTTTATTTTCCCTAAAACTCTCACAAAAACAGTTTGAGATCCTATTACAACTACAGCTCCTGTTTCTTCTCATTTTATTCCTGCAATCCTAATGCTTCGTATTCTGCGCTAGAGCATGTTTTTCCTGAAATCGTAAATTTCCCTCAATTGTTGATTTGAATCCAATGAATATTCATGACCGCAATTACCAAATAGACAAGCTATTCCAAAGAAGGAATTGCATGCTGATAAAAAAAAGTTTCACGTGATCTCATCGCTATGAAATCTGCTTGTTGTTTACACGCAAAAATCAAAATTTTTACTTTTTTATGGCAATCAAAGATAAAAGAGCTTTTTCAGTGGGTCCATGTGCGGCAACTTACCGTCGTATGGGTGATCATCGTGAGCGAACCGCCGAAGAACTCGTACGTGGGTGTCGACCAGTGAGCACAACTCGTCCGCCATTATCTGTAAGTAATTAAGGATGTTCTTTAAGTGACAGATAAACTACATCGCCGATATATTGCAATCCCTTTAGCGCATTCAAACTCCAGTTTATTTATTTATTTATTTATTTATTACGCATCAGGCGTGCCATAACTAGAACAAAATATTGAGTAACCAACAACAGATACAAAAAACAAAACAAAAAAAATCCAATAAGTTAGCTCAAGTTCAGTCACCAAATAGTCTGAAGAAAATAAGGAATTAAACTTGTATAGACTAGATATGAAATAATCACCGGCAGGCAGTTACAGGCTAGAACTCATACTTTTGCTTGAAAATCAAAAATTGCAGAATTCTATCCGTTTTTGCAAAACCATGGTCTAAGAATCATCGTGATTGCTATTTTGCTCATAAAAGACGTAAACTTCCACATTTCTTGGATTGCAGTTGTGAATTATTATAGTGTGTTTGCGTTTTTTGACAGCATGCGTGTAAAAATTACTTTTGAGGCACAAAAGCACATCGAATTGTGGTTTTCTGCCCATGACTGTGTTCTATGGTCATTTTTATCTACTTATAATATTTGTCGTCTTTATATGGATCGGGCATCGTAGCAACACCAGAATTGCTTGACGGATCCAAACCGAAGCATTCATCAGTGTGAAATTTTGTCCAGTACTGGTCCAAAACTGAAATTACTTCAGTTTTCACCCCAGAAATAACCACTAAATCCTTATTTTGTCTTTCTGCAAGTTTTGTTTCCACATCTGCAGAGCAAAAGCAAAGTAATGTGAGAGTTTCTTTTGCATTTCATGCCCATTGTCTATCTGTAAGTCGAGATATAATGCGAAACAGCTCTCTTCTTCTGCATGCAAATGCAGACTACATTTTAATCAAGCCAACCTTTCATGGAAGTAGCACATCTTAGAATGTTGCACATAAGATTATTTATACAGTCGTCGCAGATTATATTCCCTTCTCAAGCTAACCTTTTATAATAGCACTCTGGATTATTTACACAGTCCTCATTCCAATAGTTGATTTCTGTAGCTGCACTACTTTTGCAATCTGCAGTAGAGTAAAGCCCTGGAGGTAGAGTCACGACTAAAACAGTATAAGATGGAAAACGATTTTGCGAAGATGCACAAAGTAGAAAAAGAGTTTGCTACAAGTCGGATCTGTAGTTACCAGTGCAAATCCATATCCGTAGTTCAGTCGATCTCAAGGCTTACTCAATAAAACACAAAGGCTACTGCGTGACGAAGGCGCAGAAGCAGTGTTAGTTGAGCGAACGCGAACGCGACGCGCGCGTATTCTCCTCTTTGCAAAATCCGGCGCCTCCTGCGCTCTAAGGCTAATAAAGCCGCGTTCGCGCCAAAAGACGTTGCACCTTCGTCGTGCAGCAGCCACATACTCATTAATTTGGTTCAATATTAGTAATTTGATGTCGATATAGCTTTCTCTTGAAAATCGGTGTTTGTTTACAAGCGATTTTTTTTTCAGATCACCAGACGTGGCAGCAGCATCGTCAGCAGCAGTGAACATACTCCATTGAGCAGAGATTTTGTCTACTCCTTACACCACAATTTCAAATCCTGCCTCCTATATGGCAAAAACAACGTCGGTGTTGCAAACGGAGAAGCTCCGGCCGTCAAAGGTTTCAATTTTCAATTTCTGGCTGTAATTTCAAGATAGCCCTCTGTTTTTCTAATCAAGAATTTCAAATAACAAAAAACAATTTGAAATGACCGTAATCTCTCTGCAGCAAACATCAATCAAATATTCATTATTGTTTTTTAGGATATTTGTCCTTACATAAAAGCTACGAAGGTGTCCTATCTCTGAGATGGACTCCTAATCAGCTAATGCATGCCAGGTAGGCTAAATCAAGAATTTGCACAGTACATTCAGAGAACTTTTTTAGCTCACAGCCTTCATCCGCCACCGTTAAAGAGTCCGAGCAGCAATGGCTATGGAAACAGGCACTAAGCATAGATATGGAAGATATAATCTACATACATCTGCATCAGAGAGGTATATTTCAATAAAATTGAAGGTTCTTGTGCCCATGCGGTACAACATTTGCGCGTCAAAAATGGCCATAGAGCGCACATTTTCCATTTTTGCACACCACAGCCATTTTTCACACTCATATTTTACCGCTAAAAGTCCCCAGGGATTATATCTAAGAGTTAACTGCAATTATAATGCCAGCGCGGTGCTGACAACAATTGTGCGTAAAATTTAGCTGTACAGTCTCCAGTTTCTCCAGGACCTAATTTTACGCGTAAACGTTGCGGTCACCGCAGACGTGTCATATTGGTCATCAAATAATATAAGCTGAAGATTTGATAGCTAACATAATTCCAATGTTGTACGGCTAGTACTTGGGTGTGAAATTGGCTATAGAGTAGTTTTGCTTCCTCATGGTCATTTTTCACGCGCAAGTGTTGTCGTCACCGCAGGCACAATATACCAGCCGTCATACTTATTTATCCCAGATTTTCTCGGGACCCAGATTAAGGTTGTCATGACTGTTTACGCTTGCTTTTCAGACGACTCGTCACCGTCGACGTTGACGCTCGTCAACTGTGACGGCGTGCAGTGTCCGCCGTTGCAGATGTCAGCCGGCCAGCACTCACTCGTCTTCCTGACTTCTCTGGAAGCTGGACTTGCGCCAACACACCGCCTTGATCCGCCTCTATGGGGAGGACCCGGCAAAGGTGAATATGGGACTATTCCAGTGCATATCCAAGAGAAAATTCAGCAGAAAAGACCATGCAGGAGCATAAAAGGCGTGAAAAAATTTTGAGATTTGAATATAAATTTCAGCAATCGGTACCCTAAAATCTAGCAATAAAATCCCCCTCGCAGACAATCGCCCTGTGTAGATGGGTTCGCTACGGATGAGTCCGCCAGCAGATAACATATTCGACAATGCGCATTCTACTCATTCTTCCTGGAAATAGAATGGGCTTACCTGTAAACGGACTCAGCAGACTTATATGCTAGGTCTTGGGGTATATGCCATGGCTACACTTATTTAACCTAGTTGATAGATTTCATGGCACATCCATCTTTAGAATATATTTTATGGTCAGCATCAGGTGACATAAATTGCAGTACCTCTTTAGCAATTCAAAACATCATTTCAAGCATGCGCCCTGTACATTAGCTGCAAAATGGAGCACCTCATTGCCAATTGCCAAGCCATTTTTGAAAAGGCTGGTGATATGGTTCTTCATAATTATGGTTGCATGATGGAATTCCTCTGCTCTATCCAAATTTTGATAGATATCGCGCATAGCACTAGAAGTTATAGAATAGAAAATAGGAAAAAGAGGTTTCAAACTCATATCTTTTTACCATTTTTGGCCATATGTTCATGAAATTGATTTTTGTAATGCTTTCAGCTAATACGATAAAGCAAAACTTGCAGAAAATGTTTAGTTAGAAGAACGTTATGCTATTCTTAAAAAATATTACATCTCAAGAACTTCGAAATAACAGACTTCCAATGTATTAGAACTAATCACAGCAAGAATTTCTATCCTTAGATTTTCACGAATGTGAATCAGCTTCTGAAACAGCAGTTGGTTCTTTCAATATTACCATCCGTTTGATTTTGGTAAGATTTTGACCGCTTACCACACCTTTTTTCGTCCTCTTTGCCATATCGAGGTGGTAAAATGAATGTAAACATGTTTAGTAAAAGTACATGCGTCAATTTCGTTCGCTATAAAAGGCAAAATTTGTTTTCATTTCGTTTCGACGGTATTTTGAGCACCCTGTTCAATATCATTGATCGGCTAGATGATCAAGGAAATCCCAAGTAAAATAGGTAATTTTTACAGCATGCTCTAAATCAAGGAATGCTCAATGGTTCCAGTCAAAATATAGGCCATGGTTTCCTTTCTAAAAGATTCATTTTCCACCCGTATTTAGGAAATTTTCTTTTGACTTCCTAATTTGCTGTGCAGTGGAACCAGACTTTGAGCTTCAGACTCTGGCTCGCCTCATCAGTATGCTGACGTCGTTGTATATTCTCCTCTTTCCTTGATGACTATACGTTATCTGCTTTGTTGTCGTAAACAATGCTGAGAATTTGCTGCAGAATGACAATAAGCCATACATTTGTTTACTCATGTTCAGAGGATTTTGAGAATTTTATTTGGAGTGTCATGGGATCGCATTTCTAACGTCATCAACATAAAAGGCTTTCGGCCTGGAAAAAGGGCAACGATGCAATTTCTGTGTAGATCGACTTAGCGCTCGCACATTTTAGAGATATACTCTCATTGTTTTTATTTTGCAAGTAGCAGTAAGAAACAATCAAGAAATCAATCTCAGTGATATTACTGAATTCCGTTTTTCCTTCTTGAACTCGATACTAAATATTTTTGTGGAACTTGTAAGCAAGGAACGAGGAATCAAGAAAAGATAATTTTTCAGAGAAATAGAAGAACCTATATACTTATAAAGATCACATTTTGTTTTGCATTCTTTGGTCTTACAATAAGAGAACTGGGTGCTGCTCCCAGATTTTGTCAGCACTAGATCGTAACAGAATCTTTCAAAGATAAAGTCAAGCCACGAGAAAGAATTCCTGGGCTGTTACATTGTCCGCAAACTTGTAGTCGTGAATATTGAGACAAAGTAGAAATTTTTCGAGGGAGAGTGTACAAATGAAATTCTTGACTTTTGAGTTTATCAGTGTAGGATTTTCTTTTTTCAATTTGAATTTGGTTTTTCTCTCCCTTAGCGATGTGTTTTTTTTGAAAAAATTAATGTTTTGCTGCAGAATTCTCGTTATCGCTTCACGTAAAATTTATTTGCAATTTCTTTTTACCGCATCCTCTTTTTTTCGTTATCCTATGAGGGGCTTTTATCGATAGAGTTGCAAAAGGAATAGGTGATGTCATCAAGGAAATAGAGTCCTGGTAGATTTCCCGATAATTAAAGTATATACGAAAGAAGGGCAGCATTAAGCCTTTATCTCGTCATTTGCAGAAAAAACTCTGCCTCGCTTGCGAAAAAGGACCACTGCAGTGGGAAACGGAGCCATGCTGGACTATGTGTTTCGGATTGTTCGTATTGGCGGAGCTGAATTTCTGAACGATTATTCTCAACACAGCGACGACCGAAGCCCATCACCGACGAGTCAAAGGTTGGTCACCATATTTTAGCTGATGGAAATTCGACTTTGAATGTCTCCGATAGTATTCGCAATGAAATGGCATCATCTTAAGACTACTGCATGGCGAAAGTGCAGAAGCAGTATAAGTTGAGCGGGCGAACGCGGCGCGCGCGTGTCCTCACCGCTGTAAATTTTGCGCCTCATGCGCTCTGCGGCTAATAAAGCCGCGTCCGCGTCCAAAGGTAATGCACCTTAGTCATGCAGCAGCCTATAAGTTTGACAAATTAAGCGATGAATCAATATTTTCTGCAAAGGGAAACGGTAGTCATACCAGTTTAGTATTATCTCCAGTGTCCATATAGAGCTGCTAGATAGAGAGAAGAAGAATATAGGCATAATTTATAGCAGCTAATTTTCTTTATAAGAGGCATGAATCAGGGACTTTTTTCAAATGTTATGCTGTCACAGAATGAACCTAAGTTAAGAACCCCACACAGCTTTGTGAAAGACAGTGTCCAAAAAAATCTGGAGAACTGGATTCTAGAGAATACTGATTGGGAGGCTTTGAAGCCATCGCTCAAACGACAGATTATAAGATCCGTTGCTAGAAGAGACATTCAGCTGTGAACCTCAGCCTAGACCGTACTTTCTACCGTAGTCGGAGGCGTTGATTGGTCCATAAAAGATACTCCACTCTGGACCAGGGCTCGGCACAGGTGGCTTACAAGCAAGCTGGATATCGTTTTTGAGACAAAAAGCAATTGGGGTTTCGTTTTTGTGGACGAAGACACGCAAAATTGGCGGCGTTTTTTTTTTAGTCGACGTTTCGTTTTTTGGAGAATTTTCAGATAGGTGTAGGGTCAAAGGGGACTTCGTAAAAATACCCAAAAGTCAAGGGGGACTTCGTTTTTTGCATTTTCATCTAGCCACCTCGTGCCAGCCCTGCCCTGGACTCGAATTTAGAGTTGTTTACCACGACTGTAAGCTTCTTCTCTAAAAATGGCTTTTATAAGAATCCCAATCAATAAAAACATAAGATGTGTCCAGTGTCCAGTGTCCAGTTGTCCAGACGACCTGCTTGGACACTGTTTTATCACAGTAGCATGTTTACACTTTGTGCTTATGTAGTTCGTTTTATTTGAATTTTTTCTTTAGCAAATCACTCCCCGCTTCCCCCTACGTGAACACTGGAAATGCTGTAGATAGCCTTGTGAGGTGAGTTATCATTTATCCTAGCATGATATGCATGGTCTCATTGTTTGTTTGAAGGCTATTGCAGGACGAAGGCGCTGCAGCAGTATTAGGTAGCGGGCGCGAACGCGTCGCGTGCGTATCCTCATCGTTTAAATTCTGCGACTCATGCGCTCTGCGGCTAATAAGGCCGCGTTCACGCTCAAAGATATTGTGCCTTCGTCGGGCAGTAGCCTATATGTTGCTCTGTCTGTCTCATTAATCCTTGTAAATTTTCACTGCACTATCGTGCAAGTTTATTTTTTTACATCACCGCATCACCGATTGTGCGGCACCATCACAAATGGGCACAATTATCACAAAGTTAGGCAGCGTCCAGAGTTGTCGCGTGCCTGCGCTGTGTCGGCGCCGTGCCGCAACCAATGTGGATGCTCTTCGCCGGGACCAATCGAAGTTTCGGCACGTCATAAGCACGGCGCCGCAACGGCACTGGAATAAGCAATTTAACGCAGCCTTTTAGTAAAGCGAGTGTAAATTCAAAATTAGACACAAACTTCTAGTTCTTCTTACTTTTACTTGATATTGTATCACTACAAATGTTAACAGAATATCACCTACAATTGACTGCTAGTGAGAACCAAAAAAATGAAGCAAAACAAGAGTTACTGTTGCCTAAGATCCAACCAAATTTTGCTTGTGCCAGCTCCGTTCCAGTGCCATAGTGGCGCTATGCCAAAACGTCCACGTGGCTCGAAACGGCGGCACACAACTTTGGACGCTGCCTTTGTTAAAATTATACAACTCTCAGTAATTGTAAATACCTGAGTTGAAAAAAAGTTTATTTTGATGAGAAATGAGATGGTGCTGATCGGAATTCACTAGGTGGAACGTTGCTTCGATATCAGCCATTTAAAAAACGAAAATTTCCTCATAGCTGAAATCTGAAAAATAATCAATACGGGCAGAAAACTTCAGCATAAACACCTCGCATACTAATTCTGTTCTCATCCTTCTTAAGAATATTAATAGCATGTGGCAACGTCTAGCGCATTAAGGAATATGTTACAACAATATTCTACATCTTACAGTTTTATTTACAGTTTACAAATTGACCGTGCTTGCCAGTCAATGCGACATCAAATCCTTGCTCGAGCCTTCTTTGGATGTAAGTCACTTGATGTCTCATATAAGACTGTTCAAGGGGATTATTATTTGATTATTTTTCATCTCAACCTCTTCCAGGGCTCTCCTACTGCCGTCATCTACGTACCGTAAGAAAACATTTGCTATACTTAGTGGATACGAGAGAAATGACCGGGGAAGGAAGTTGCGAACCAGTTGATGAAGAGTTCTGGAAGAAATGTCGTGCTTTGAGAACGGTACGATAGATCTACCACATATTTGTTCTAAAAATTAATGGAATCTTACAGCCCGAACTCGAAGAAGAATTCTTACTGAGAGTTTATTGGAAAGGAATAGAAGGTACATGCACAAAGGAGCTGAGACAACAAGTAAAAAAATTACTTCTGACTAGAGAACGAGAAAATAAAAGTCAAAATTATTTTAGGCTTGGCCATATCTTCTGAGGCTCTTCCGATGGGATGAGGATCCAGAACCAAAAATGACTGAATTTACTGAAAAATACAGGTGAATAAGGTTGTCTTCTTTGTGCTCTCCTTCCTCAGAATTCCCCATCCTTCCTCCACCCTTACATTCGAAAAATCTCATCAGCATTCGTCCAAGGTTATTTGATCGAACATGTGACCCATCTTGGTTGAACCATTATTCTTCAAAGTGAACATCGATTTCTTTATTTAAAAACCAAATGGATGCTTTCTGCATGTGAAAGCTTCATTTATAAAGCAATTTTATAACCTTTCAGTCAACATGAACTTAAATGGTCATGCATTTTGGCAAATCTGCATATCTGTCTTTTCTGATGTAAAAGCTGGTCGAGGAAAGGAGGGAGAGATGAACTAAAATCTCGCGAAAACAACAGCCCACATTTTCATTCGTTGTTGAGAACTTTAATCTCATACTCCAGTCCTCATCGACTTCCTACCGTACCCTAGAGCGCTGATTGGTCCTCTCGGCAAGAAATGGTATGGGGTAGGGTGTATTCGGCAATGAATGATGGAGATGAAATCTTACTTGGATTAGAGAACTTTCACTTTGTCCTTCGCCCAGTACCGTACTCCTCTATATCAACGTGCTCAAACGCGGTACTGGGGAGAGTTCAAAATTGAACTTCTTGACCACAAATGGATCATATGAGCTACCCCTTGGTCGAAGTCTCCTATTTGGTGACCGTATTAGTAGCCAAGTTCCCTGAAGAACCCGAATTTGTCTTCAACAGACCTCAGTAAAAAAAATCTTAAATTCTTCTCCCCAAGATAGAATGATAAGAATCAATCGATCAATTCAGAGAGGATGTCGACGGTTGGCGGGTGTTAGAAGAGCGAGTACGTCGTCAAGACGAGGAGGACTTCATTGCTGGTAAATTTTTTTAGCTTTTTGTTTAGTCAGTCTAGGCTAATGGAAACTTTTTAGCGCGACACCGTAGGCCGTCATTTACCGAACGAGAGTTGTCAGTCGTAAGTGACGTCTTCGAAGAGGAATGCGAAGAAAATGGAGTGGTGAGATATCTTCATCGTTTTTTTTTTTGAATTTCACTGAAATAGAGCATCTAAGCGTCTTCATAGAGGCTGTGTTATCCAAAAAAGCACCCAACGTTTCAGAAACCACATACATACATAAGCAGATTGTATTTATCGAAGTATGGACCGATGTTTCAGCAAGAGCGGCAACAATCTCATGATGCTGAAGAACTGCTATTCCGGCAATTTGCTGCCAATTTACATCGAATTGATAAAGATGTGGAGAGATGCGATCGAAATTTGATATTCTTCTCCAACAAGGAAAATTTGGAAAGCCTTCGGTACGTTAAAATTTTGGCTTACATTAGATAAAGGTCTATTAGTCGCTAGCGCATAAATTTCATAAACATTTAGAATAAAAATGTCCCTGTGCTCCCGCTCAGACAATTATTGCGACCACCCGCGGAAGGGCCACCGCCGACGTTTCATCCATGCCGCGGGTGGTAGAGTAAACGCACACTAAGCAGCCGAGAGTTACCCGCGGATGCGCCGGTTAGCGCTCGAAAGACGCCCGCGGATGTCCAGACAAGCACCCGACTGATGCGCGATATGCATCCGCGGATGGCCCGATACGCAGTCTAAACGCAGTACAATGTACATCTAGTCCATTTTTTGAGCCTCAGTTTCCATCTCCGTCGCCCTCGCACATGGATCAGGATATGCGTCAAAGTTTGTCTTTCCTCGTACCCTGGGGGAGGATACCTCAGCTGACCTCCTTTGCTACTAGCCACATACCGAGAAACGTTAAGCAACGGCATAAACGTTGAGGGTACCTCCACCAGCGCGGCGTATCTCACGCGAGTAACGTTTTTGCTTACAGCATGTAAGAATTGCAGCGTCCGGCAAGGCCTGCGGCTGGTCAGACTGATTCTGTTAAGCCGTTGCCTAGAAGGGCTGGGGCCTGCCCGAAAATGATGAGCACGGCCCTCATTAAGGCTTGCGGCTTCTTTCAATAAGGTCCGTGGCCCGCGAGTGTTTTTTCCCGGGCCGCGGGTGTCTCGGTAGAAGAATTAAAACCCGCGGCCTTTAACTAGCGAAAACATTGAGCCGCGGGTCGCCAAGCAAGTGAATTAAGGGTCGCAGATGGTCAGTATCAAAATTCAACGTTCGCGCGCCACCAAAAGGCATATTAAGGGCCGCGGATGCTCGTAATAATTGTCTGAGCGATCTCCTTTTGATATAGTCCATTTGGTCAAAATGCATAAAAATGATCAAAAAACTAACAAAACGGTTTCAAACTTCATCTCCCTTTCTTCTAGAGTCTTCAAGACTGCTATGCGTTTGCGGGTCGGAGCCTTTGCCCTCACCTAGAGAGTCGCAGAATTCTCGAAAGAGGCCTATATCCTTACTTAGACTGGCGATTATTTTTACCTGCGAGTAGTTGAAGTAAACGCAAAAATTTCCAAACACTTATGTAAAAGAAATCTTTGAAGTCATTTTAGCAGCCATACCCTTCTATAGTTTCGTCTATGGGCCCATAAGTACTTTGAAAGCATCTCAAGAATTTCTGAGGGTTGGCGGATGCCAAGCACCTTTATCAAAAAAAAGTTCGTCGCGCATCCTCCCGGTCCCCTTCCCCCCAAAAAACTTCCTGGACTGCTATTGGTACTTTCGTGCTGCCTCGAAGTTCGGACTAAGACGATGTGCACATCATTTCAGAAGGATAATGGTCACTTATGTACGTAGAAATCTCGATGATGGCTATATCCAAGGAATGTGCGACATACTCGCTCCACTTCTAGTCATTTTTGAAGATGGTGAGTTCAAACAAGAATTTTATTTGCTGGTCTTTTAAAAGATTGGAAGACATAGATCCTTTTCAAGGTAGGGTAATGATTTGCTTTGAGCAACCCTTATTTATGCCGTAGTCTGCCATGAATAAACCTATTCTTTGGCAGTGGATTACGACAAAAAGTTCCACTACAGCCAAGTTTTATTGACCTCAAGTAAACATATATTGTTACAAAGATTGCAGGCACTTTCCCAAAAACCGATTTATAAGTGAAAAATCTCCCACCATAAATAAAGTTAATTCCTTACTTTGCAGAAGCACTAACACTTGAATGCTTTACGGTGCTAATGGGTCGTTTACGAGAGAACTTCCCTCAGAGGAGCGGCATGGATCATTGCCTTATGAATCTTCGCTCTCTGATTCAGGTACTCACACCAAATTTAACCAACTGTTGAACTATGATAATCTACATTTTCTAGGTAGTCGACCCGCAAATATTTTCCATGTTGACGTCTACATCGGACTTTACTCATCTCTACTTTAGTTATCGATGGTTCCTTCTGGATTTCAAAAGAGGTGAATATCAATTTGTTGCTGAAAACAGGTCAAAAAGGAAGGAAAAGATACCAAAATGAATACTTTTTCATGGAAATGCCTAGAATATAAAATTTTGAGTTTCCACAAAACTTTAAAGTCTAGTACAAACACATCTCTGAGTCACAGTCTCTCAGTCAGAAAATATATGATTGAAAAGAAAGCTTCATTGCTGCTTACGGACGCATAAAAAAACATCTATCTCTATTCTCGATAGAACTTACTTTCTCGATATCGATACTTTCAATTATATTTCTGAAGAGATTGACCGAGCGTTTTGAGTCACAAGCATTTTTTCAGAACTATCATACGACTGCATTTTCCGAGTCTGGGAGGCTATATGGGCAGCATCCAGAACATATACCCCTCACTTTCCTTTATTCTTTGCACTAGCTATGATCACAAACTATCGAGATGTAATCATCGGGAACAACATGGACTTTACCGACATGATCAAATTCTTCAATGGTAACCATTTTTTCTCCGAAAATCAATTCTGTACATCAAAATTTCTTTCCAGAAATGGCCGAACGCCATGACTGCACTCGGCTACTTGCCGCAGCTCGTTCTCATGTGAAATGCCTCCAGAACCTGGTACAACATCTTCGGTAGCGATCTGTCAACCTGTTCTCCCCCCCCCCCCCCCGACATATCCACAAACCCCCCTTTACTGTGATAATTCGTTGTTTTAGTTACTGCCTTCTTCGTTCTTGTTCCCCGAACCACTTGTTTCCTCTTTTCCCACGGATTCTCAGACACATCTTCTACGAGTTGGGTTATCAACCTAGTATATAAGAGTCTATCTACAAAATGTTCCTCACTATATTTAATAAAGCTAATTATACTTCGACTTTTATTGGTTATGCCAGCACAAAGATCGAGCAGATTTGAGATTTATAAGCAATAACAATAACAAATAAATTCAAATTTACATGAACACTAGGAGTCTCGTAAGTCTAGAACGTACTAAAACTAGAACTAAGCTGGCTCCAGTGTCATTCCCCTGGTTGTATGTTGTCAAAGATTTGTCGTATTGAGTCATCTTCCTGAAGAAAAACAAAGCTTGCAACAATCATTTGCTCAATTCCCCCCCCCCCCCCCCCCAGAATGAGCGGAACTAGAAAATGCTGTAGGTCTTCAAGAGACGTGAGAGGAATCGACAATTCGGATATGTTGCTGGACTACTCCAGTGTACGAAGTTTATACTCACTAAAAAACATAGAGATGCAATTTTGCATAATCGAACACATTTTTCATTCTGGAAGGTTCTGGAGACAATGATCCAATATGACTATTGGCATAAGATAATATCATCCATACTTTCTAGAAATCAGAACTCACCTGTAGCAATTCATACAGTTTTTCCACTTTATGTGCATCGTCTCCTTCTATTCGAATTGGATGCATTGGCCGGAATTGAAGCTCTGCTGATTCAACTGCATATCTGAAAATTTACTTTTTTGATATAGATCATCTTCAAATTAACTTTTTCAACAAAAAGAGACTGTGAAGAAATGAGACTTCTGAGTTTCTAGAAGCTATTTTGCGCAAGAAAAATTTTCAATGGCAATGCAGTAAAACTAGGTTGGTATGAGTAATCAGTAAATAATCAGTAAAACTCACCCTTTACTGACCAAAGTGCGTTCTACTTCAGACAACCTCTCTGGCTGGCACAGTAATTCAAATGATTTTTCTTCGCCTTCGACAAGCGCAACATCTTCACAATCCAACTCAATTCCAATTTCCTCCATCTGGAAATTTTTTACTGACACATACAGGGTGTCCCAAAAGTATGTATACACTGTTTGATCGTTGATATCTCTTTTCCCAAGAGACTTTTGCTTACCTTTAAGAACCATTTTACAGAGGCTTCAATTTAGATTTACAGTATGGAGCGAATTACTGGTCACTCTTCATTACTGTAGGATTATGGTAGAAAATTCAGGAAGGTTGTGAGCCGTCAAGGACCCTATTTCGCCTCAGGAAGCAAGCCTAACAATCGAACTTTCATGCAAGGCCGACTGAAGCCGTAAAACCAAATATAATGTTCGCACTTTATCGCAATGTTTCCTTCATAATGTGGGGTAAACCGCAAAAGCTGTTTTTACAAGACTCCATAAAATCGTGATTAAAATTTTAAAAGCTCAAACTCGTAAAAAGTTGAATAATAAAATCAGCGAGCTTGAAAACCCTAGTACACCACTTCTCAGATATTTTGGAAAGTTTTTTTTGAAACACGGTATATCAGCAATTACGCTATAAGCTGAAAGTTCCTACCGTAATTTTACAGTAGTGAACAGCGATCCGTGATTCGCTCCATACTGTCAATCTAAGTTGAAGCCAGCTCTATAAAATGGTGCTCAAAGGTAAGTAAAAGACTTCTTGGGAAAAGAGACATCAACGATCAAACAGTGTATACATACTTTTGGGACACTCTGTACTTTTCATATATTTACACTCTACCTGCTCAAGTTGCAAAGGTTTGCCATTTAGTTCAGATTTAACTGTAAGTACACCCTTTTGTTGGAACCAGCTCTGGACTGCCGACGCTTCGGATGCAAACCGAAATCCGCCCACCTGCAAAGATGCTATGGAGAGTAGTCGGATGAACGTAATCAATTTTAACAACTTTACAATATTCTAGAATATCATGCGTGTAAAATAAAATATAACCAGTGCCGCACCCAAGACTCCTTTTTGGGAAGAGAGGGAGGAGGGGGGGATGGACGACAAAATTCTTTATGAAGGTGCGTGGTATTCGCACTCCGAAAATTTTTTTGGAACGCAACCCAATAATTTTGCCGACTCATAACCGAAATTTTAGGAAAAGTAGGCGAGCCAGAAACCACGCACCCAAAAAAATTTTTTTGCGAAGCTAATTTGAATTTTTGAAAATTTCTCAGATTTATTTTGTTTATTTACAAGTATAAACAAGTCACTTGCGCCTTATTCAACTCATGTAAGTGACTTTCAAGAATTTCGCGACCCACTTCGGAGAAGGAGGGGAGAGGGGGCTTTTTTCTCTGCACACCACTGGGAAACCCTGATAAATGTAAGAGAAAAGGACCAAAAATTTTTCTGGAGGGAGTCAAGTACTCTGAAAAATTTCTATAATGCACTCAAATTTTTAGCAAGCTTTTAAACTTAAAAACGGTTTTCTATAAAGCAGTTTTGAAGTGTGATAGTTGAAAAAAGGTAACACATTTCTTCCTTACGGAAATAGATCTTTCAGAATGGTCCACAAAATCATACGCCTCCCGCTATTCCTTCACGAAAATGTTTCACAAAAATTTCTCAGAGTGATCTACATGAGCAAAAAAGGTCCAACCGACTGTTCGCCAGATTGCCAATCACCATAGCAGCATATTTCAACAGCCTTTCATTCAAAAAATGCTATCGCCCCGAGCATCTGTTGCGCAAAACTCTTCAGCATGGCGAGACAGTTTCAGGTGCCATGAATGCTTGACTTTTATGCTCGGCCTCAAGTGCAAAAACGAGGTTGGATTGTGATTAGTGGGTCAATCATCGGCAGTACATTGCTTTATCAATTTTCTTGCGCTATGTTACCACACGCTTGATATTCGACAACATGTAAAATACCTTAAGTGCAGCCTACCTTATTGAAGTACTTCCTCATAGTGTTTTCAAAAGCTCTGACATTGTCAGTTTCAGCTTCCACAATGAAGAATGATCCAGCTGGGCCAATCACATTGAATGTACATTCAACTTCAGGTTTATTCTGGATATCATCATATAAATAAATATACAGGGTGTCCCAAAAAGATGTGCACACTGTTTGATCGTTAATAACCCCTTGCTTCCACGTCTTTTGCCGAGCTGAGGTACCAATTTATAGAGCGAGGCTCAACTTATATTTACAGTATGGAGCGAATTTCAGTCACTCTTCATTACCGCAGAATTATGGATTAAGGATTTCGAGGAGGAATTTAAGCCATTGAAAGCGGTATTCTGCCTCAGAAAAATAACCAAACAAGCCAGAAACTCTTGAATTGGGCTAATCGAAATAGCTGATACTAAACATGAAAATTACCCGTCAGCATGGTGATTCTTTCATACGCTTTTTCAGCTTTAGCAACTGTTTTTCCAGTGTTCGTCAGAAATGTGAATACGCCCTCAAGAAAGCTTGAAAAACTGGTGAAAAGTTATGTAGTGAAATCAGCACTTGCACTTCTACCTTTGCATTTTTGAATTTCTTTGAGATTATTTCATCAAAAGACCTATTCCACAGTGACGCTGTATGCCGAAACTTCGTACCGTAATCCTGCAGCAAGTGAATAGTGACTCCCATGGTAAATCTAAGTTGAACCTCGCTCTACAGAATGGTACCTCAAGCTCGGCAGAAGACATGGAAGAAAGAGAGAGAGTTATAAACGATCAAACATGTGCACATCTTTTTGGGACACTCTCTACTCTTCAAATTCACTACACTCTCAAGCAATCAAATCACCTTCAATTTGACCAAAAAATTCTTGAAAGTGTCTAGCGAGAGCCCTTGCGATCTAAAATCTTGTTCTAGTGCTCCTAACTCTTTATTCAGTTTCAAGTCAAATCCACCTCGTAATGCTGCTGCTTTCACCTAAATCAAGAACTAAGAAAAAATGCAGCTGCATCACACAGCAAACCTTCTTCAACATATTATTCATTGCCTGTGACTTGATCATATCATTCTTTCCCTTCGTGGCCTTGATATTCTGCCATTTGGAATGCCCTTTCAACAACCTGCTTGTTACCGAGAGTGCTCGTCGAACGAATACAGATGATGAAGGCAACATCTAGGTTGATCTAAAGATGACTGATCATTTCGTTGTAAGTCAATCACAAACAAACGGATATTCGTAAACTACGGATGATCGAGAGGACCAGTAGCGGAATTCTCCACTGATTTAAAAGGTTATCAAAGCAGTAAAGCGGTGTCCTCTACAGCACAGATGATAACTCTTTTCTTTTTCTCAACCTTTTTATTCCTTTTACAGTAAATATATACGCAGTAAAGTACGGTTTTCCAAAAGCACTTATACACCTTTTGATTGTTAATGATTCTCTTCCACGAAGCCTTCTGCTTGGCGTCAAGAACCATTCTGTAGAGCAGGCTTCAACTTACAAGGGATGCGTGTTCAGTCGAAGTGGCGTCTCTAAATGAGACTCATACCACTTTGAAGAGCATCGCATGGTGGCTCCAAATCTGCCTTCATTATCTGTCAAGCGCCTCTGGATGCCGAGTTATGATCATTTTTTGTAACGAAAAATGTATGCAGAATTTAGGTAGAAACAATTGTTACAATCTTCCAGCGCTCAGATAAAGCAATGTCAAGCATTAGCATATTAGACAAAATGTATCCATTGCATGAACTGCTCTGATACTCAACACAGACCATTTGAGCAAATTTGGGCGATTTTGCTCCAGTTTTGCGTTCAATTTTTGGACCCGAAAAACGCCCATAACTGAGCGTCCAGAGGCGCTTGGCAGATAGTGGAGGCAGATTTGGAATCACTGTGCAATACTCTTCAAAGCAGTTTGGGTCTCATCTAAAAAGGCCACTTCGACTATAGCTTCCCTTGTTAGATTTATTTTGAAACTTGAAATTAACTTCTAACCTTCCTTCCTTACTGAGAAGTTCCGAGCAAGGTCAATTACTTTTACTCCATCTAAGGGCAGAAACGAAAATGAGTTATTTGCCAATTCTATATCATTTCTATTATGGTATGGAGAAAATCATCATCATTTCATTGATGTAGGTTTGCTGTAGGGACTTTGAAGAGGGTTTTGCCATCACTGGCTACAGACTACCCCACAGTGAATACTCAACAAGCTGAAAACTTTTTCATTATGCTTAAATGATTTGCTGATTCTGGATATAAGATTTCCAGTCTACCGTAAGTCTTTTTTCATGTGTTATGGCCAGATGAAAAGCAACCACAATTTCTCAGTGTTTTTCGATAATATGATGTAAACAATTTGAAACGCTTTAAACCTCTTGAAGTTGTCTAGTGAAATCAGCACACTTGAAAACACTGCTTTACAAAGATTTGCTGGAAGTTTTTATTTGATGCCTCGTTAACAATACCAGTATATGCTGGAAATTCCTATCGTAATTTTACAGCAAGATTCAAGGGATTTGCAACTGTAAATCTAAGTTGAAGCCAGCTTTACAGAACGGTGCTTGAAGCTGAAAAGACTTGGTGGGGAGAATAATAACGATTAATACTCATACTTTTGGGACAACCTTCATAAAACAAAACGGTTACCATAGCGCTTCACCAAAATTAGCCGCAATATTCAGCATTTATTCTTACAAATCGGTGATTGAAACCTACTAGATAAGAAGCTGACAAGAGAGATGATGGTGCGTGGTCTAGTGGTATGAGCGCAGTTGTAAGAGATGGGTTGAAGGTTCTATTTCGGCCTTACATCGAGCAAGCTTCAGTCCTTTGATAATGTATTAGGTTGCAAAGAAAGTTCCGGGACACTTTTGAAAATTTCATTTTCAAACGCATTTTTTGGCGCTCGGTCAGACTTTGACATCAATTGTTGTTTAGTGTTCAGCAGAGCGAAGCGTAAATTTTTCAATACCGCTCCTGATTTCTATCGATGCCAAGACATGTTTGATCTGCACATCAAAAAAGGTAACCTTTCCATCCATAAAAAATTTCGCAAATTTTCTTCCTGCGCCCATTTTTCTGTGCAGTTCGAAGAATTTCGTCCAAATCATGAGGGATCTGATTGAGGAACCTTTTAACTTCTGACCCGCAGCTGCACTTGAGTTTTGCGATTTGCGCTCAGAAATTACAAGCTGTCGAACTTGCCTCTGACCGCAACTCTTTTCGCAGCTGACGTCGCTTCTGCAGGAGACGCCGCGCCTGGGTGATGGATCCAAAAGATGTATAGGGTACCCCAACAATGTACGCAGTAATCAAAGATTTCGTCCACCCTATGCAGAACGAGAAGATCTCAAAGTAACTTACGCAAAAAAGGTGCACTTGTGGGGGCAAAAATGGTCGATTTTTCAAACTTTCTGGAAAAAAATTTCTTGCAGGTGGTCCCTTAAGGACATGAATGGTCCTCATAACAGCCCCAGCAGAATTCCTAAAACTACAGCATCTGGGGTCTTCAGCTGTTATCCTGCCTGAGATAATCCTGCACAAATAGGACACTTTTCGCGTCAACCCTTCTCCCTTCTGCGCATGCTAGTGGACCGCTATGAGGTGCTGAAAAGCCAGCACGACAAGTATATGATGAATACGAAATTCTCTTCGCAATGGAATTTGTAGCTCTGAAAAAGGATCAATCCGCTCGAAATTACGGCGATTTGAAAAAATCCGCAAGTGCCCCGGAACCTTCTTTACAACCTAATAAATTGTATGAAAGCAGGTCGGAGAACTAGCACTGACTGGGTAGTGGCTGAGACACGCAATTGATAGCCTTTTCAATCATGGAATTTGATCGGCGTAATCGCGGAATTTCAAAGCCCCCTTTTAAGATTTTACAGCTTTCAAATGTTAAAAAAACGGCGTGGAGATGCGCCAAACCATTGGGCCACTCCCGCAAAATACTGGGATTATAGTTATCTGTGCAATCCCTGTGTGCGTGAGAACCATTTGTAGTGGAGGAGGTAACTATGCCTATCGGCGGTACCGTACCCCTATCAAAAAAAGTCGATTTCGCTGGGTTATCGAATTATGGATAAAATCTTACGCGTGAAGGCTTATAAAATAATAACGTTTGAAAACTTAACGTATCAATATAAGCAATCTCTGAACGTATCAAGATAAGCAATCTCTGAGAACAGATGTAAATAAACAACGCAACCACGTCTGAACTTTTATGCCGGAAGTATAACAATTTCTGATAAAATGTGCAACTTAACTCAGGATGAGATTGTTTTGATAGCCGTATCAATCTTAAAGATATAACAAGTGATACAATAAAACAACAGCAAACAGACCAACAACACCGGAATTCGAAAAGCTTCAGTCAACATGCTCAACAACACGCTCGAACTTCTTCATAGCCTTCGCGGACAGCATGTCCGACGTCAGCAGCGAGATGCCCAGCTGATCAGACTTGGTAAAGGGTTGTGCCATCAAAGTCAGCCACCTGCAAAAAAGCTGCATGACTCAGGAACCGGTAGGTAGCAATTTTGCATACCGACGAGCAAGTTGTACAGCCTCGTCAATGCTGAGATTTGTCGAGGCTGGTTCAAGATATTCTTGCATCCAGCGAGGTAGTTTTCCACGCTTATCTTGTCGGGAAAACCTCTGGAAACCACATTTTCGTCGGAACAGTTTTGACCGTCAAAGATAATGGCGACAAAATTTGAGTGAACGTTTTCTTTACCGAAACACAGCTTCAGCGTACCTTATCAGCGAAAATCATGAGACCATAGTCGGTTTTACCTCGAAGAGCTCGACCCATGCACTGTGCGGTATGTCGCATGGCATCAAACGTGAGAAAATCATTTTCTCTAAAATTCAGCTCGCAATAATTCAATGAATTGAATAAAAGAAATTAGAAAACTCACTTGATGCCGAATTGGTCGCGTAAATACTCAAGTCTCGCTCGCAAAATTCGGCTCTCGGTATACACATATGGAATGCCAAGCATGATAACACAGCGCCCTGAGAAAATGTAAAAAATGTGAGTGAAACAACAACGAAGGAATCAATTCTGGGAGAACTTACCCAAATGATGACTAAAGTCAATTCCTTCCGAAACTTTTCCTCGAGCGACAGAGAACAAACATGCACCGCGGCCACTGTCACATGCATCTACATACCTAAACAGAAATAGATCTATAAGTCATCAATATGGCACTGCCGAAAACCTACTTTTCCAAGGCCACTGATGTTTCAAGAGCATCATTTGTTTCAATGAATAGGAGCTTCGATTTCATCAACTCGTCGATAACGTGCTAGAACTTCTTGATCAAAAGTAGTAAAGAAATAGCACATTGTTGATACACAAAGCAATTCGCTCAATATCAAAACAAATCTTGCGCGAGCAAAAGAGAAGGCTGATTTGACCTACGTACTAAATGTGTGCAAAACATGCAATGCGGTAAAGAAATTGCAGAACAATTTGCAGAATGCTAGAACACACCTGCTCGTACCACACAGAGATCACAGATTCCATGTATATATAGCTGGTGAAGAATACAACCATTCCATCTGGAACCACTGCAGCCATTTCAAGCACTAAGTTACCGTAGTTTCGAATTACAGCAACATCGCTCCTTTGTTCAAAGCGGGAAGTCATCGCAACCTAAATAACAACAAGTTGGTCCTCAAGCAGTTTAGATAGCAGAAATTTGTTCAGATGATAATCACAAACTAATGCATACTGCGTCAACTAAAGCTAATCGTCTTCATTCGCATTCCTGAGGAATATACAAAAAATATATAAATTACCTGATCGTTACCCCTTGCTACTACTAATGGACTCAAACAAGGCCGAGCCAACGTCATTGTAAGACTAGCCATGACAGCTGGTTCAAAGTCCAAAATTTTCGGATACATCTCCAATGGTGATAGCGTTCCAGAAGTGATAACTACCTGCAAAAACCATAGAAGGAAATGCTCATGATCGCTTGTAATTTATCTACACCCTACCGTTTGGAAACGTTCCATTACTGGTCGGATAGCGATTGAAGCATCCATGCATGATAAAGTCAATTGTCCAGGTGTGCTTCCCTCGCTCGGTTCAATAATGATAGAAAAACCCTAAACTTACTTTGTACTAATTTTCGACAACAACTTAGTGTTGTACCTTTGAGTAAGTGCTGACTAGAGTAGAAAGGATGGCAATTTGCATCAAACAGCGGAAATTTGAGACATCTGCTAGCTCAAGGGTTCGCATCAAATTATCAAGTCGCTCGGCACAGAACCTTTATAAATGCGATTGCGTGACTAATAAAAGAAAAAAAATTGACAGTGGCCTACCTCAAAGGTTTTCGATCAACGTACATCCGATCTTGAATATCTTTCACAAATGCTGCCGGGCTCTCGAGCACTACCTGATATCGTAAGTTCACGCTTGAAGGAGATGTCGAAAAAATAACTTCACTGAACTGACCTGTGAAGTACGCATTCGGTGACGGACATACTCAACAACTCGTTTCATGAACAGCACGAAATGCTGCGCAGTTCGTATAGATCCAGGAACAGCCTCATGCAAGATTGCATCTGGCAAGACAGGATTTGCAAGACGTTCATCGTTAGCTCTTTCTTGCTCGCTCCTAAGATCATAGACTGCATAAAAGCGAAGGAACATGCAAAAATCTCAGAAAAGAATAATAATGACCTCAAAGTTCATCAATTTCTCAGTCGTTTTTGCTTCAACTAGTGAACCAGTAATCTAAAGGTGCTATTCGGAAGGGCGTTCGCTTCGGTACCGCCACGTGGTTTCCCGCTATTTGCATATTTTTGAATTGCGCTTACGATTCTTTATATATTATTAGGGTGATCCAAAAGTAATGGGGCAGCTAGAGAATAAATGCAGTCTTCTCAAACAGAAAAGCTAATTGGAAGTCCAAGTTTTGATAGATGTTAGTACATAACAAAACCTTCTGATCGAGGTCTATAGTTGGGCACTGTCACATGGCGTTAATTCTATATGCGCTAAAATTAAAGCTCACCACTTCAAGTAATTTTGAACTTTGAGCAGCAGCGCCGCAGTAAAACAAGTGAGCCCACCAGAGATACGTGCGCAGCAATGGGTGAGGGGACTGTCACCAAACCCACAATAGCTGGGTGGTCCCAAGGCTTTAGAACAGAAGATATAGCATCGGGTATCAGGAGACATATTACTTATTCTTTCATCAAGGTAATCAAATAAGCCCAAACTTAGCAGTTGCTTTCTGATAGTGCTTTTTAAGCTCTATCCATACATATGCAAATTACTTTGACTTTTCTCATTTTCAAAAGATTGTGGTCCAAAACATGAATTTTAGTCTGAAAATCGGCGGCAAACACCGCACTTTTTCGAATAAAGTGCCTTTTTTGTATAAAATAATGTGAAATTTTTGGATATTCAAGTAATCATTAGAAAGAGTTTGAAAAGCTCTTTCGAAAGGTATGCCATATGTCGAGGGACTATCAGCTGCAGCGGCCCAAATTCGGATGGCGTTCAAAAAAGTCTGTCTGACTTCTTTGAAGCGCCACTCGATGAAATCTCGGTGAGGTGCTGCAAGGTGCTGTCAAGATAACCTGCGAAGGTCACTTTATACAAAAGCGTTAAAAATACTGGGCGTTCATAGCTAATCAGAAAGAAATCTTGAAGAATGTTAAAAAAAATCAAGGTGCCCCATTACTTTTGGATCACCCTAATAGATAGATAGATAGATAAACAGATTAGGTTAGATACTGTCTGATGACAGATTTTGAGTTAATTTATGAGTACTTTACAGGAGCGTCTGCTTTATAAAACCCCACTGCAAGTTTTTCACTTCAACCTTCATCGTACCATTTTATGTCTATAAACTGTTTTATGTCTATAAACTGTTTTATGTCTATAAACTCGCTTAAAACAAAGTAACACATTTTGCTCAACGTTGAGAGGAAAATTATTGAAGTACCAGTTCGAGAAATAAAAAGACAAATGCTCACCTCCGCAATCCTTCGACTAGTTTTTCATACTCGTTCTGCAAGCGCTCAGAGTTTTCCGACTTCATTCGCTGAACGGCGGATTCTAGTCTAAACGTTTCTTATGAGCAAAAAGATTGAGATGAAACTTTTGACAAAAAAACTACGCTGCGCTATCAACTATACCTCAAAAAACATACGAGATGAGTTCTTGCGAAGCTTTCTCGATTTGCTTTTGTGAAACAGTGATGGACATAGATTCAATGCAGACATTGTCGATGTTATGAGCCTCATCGAACACCACACACGATCTGAAGAATTTGAGGAATTTGAATTATCTTCAAATTATCTACAGATTACCTTCGACTGAAGTCTTTAGATACCAATTCCGCGATTTTTGGATCAAGAATGTAATGATAGGAATAAACTACGATTGTTGCACTCCTGATAGCTTCGCGTGATATAAAATAAGGACACAAACCACGCTCACGTCCAAATTGTTTGAGATCACTCTGTGACAGATTATGCAATCCATGCGACTGAACTTATATGATGAAATGCTTACCAAATTCCAGACACCGCTTGGAAGGGAGAAATGTTGTTGCGCTGATAGCTTCTCGAAAAATGGGCATGATGGAATGGAGGGATCCAACTGACGTTTGGCACGAACAAAGCTAGCTGTAAGCCTCTGACAAGCACCATCGACAAGGGCTCCTTAAAATATTTCTGTTGAACACGTGACTAACAGAACTTATCTGATCAACATGAAAACGTGATTGTCTGACTTGCATGAGGAAATGCCGAAAAAAAGTACATTAATCAATAACTTGTTTTCTTAACCGTCTTTTGAAGGTCTACAACCTGCAGAACTCAACAATTCAGCAACACCCTATGACTGGTGTTATGATGTGTCTATTGTGCACATAAATCTTCAGCCCAATTACTTATGCCGTGCCTGGCCGATATCAACGAAAAAACATTTGTACTCATTTATGATGCTGAACGGAGCTTAGCTGGACTTTTAATGAAGTAAGAAGAAAGGAGAGAAATATGGCAGGTGAAATAAAAATACCTGACTGAACTACACTGTACACTCTTGCTTACCTTGCCTAAGCTGCCACACCGAGTCGTTAATGCAAAGATTTTTCCTCGCCGACATTGCAACAGCAACCATTGGAGGAGCACTCTGTGTTCAAAAAAAAATTTAGTAAAAATCTCTTCAGAGAAAGTATTACCGAAGTTTGTCGCTCGTAGTACTTGTACAGAGCACGCAGCTCCTCAACGCATTTTTCAATTTCGGGGATGGTTCGCGAACAGTATACCAGCTTATCTGAACAAGCCAACATGAGGAAGAAATATCAAGAAAGTCAAGTAAGTCCATACCAAGGCGATCAGGGAACTTCCTCATGTACGCCACCACCAATGAAAGCAATGACACTGTCTTTCCTGTACCCGAAGGCATTTCCAGAAGGCAGTGTCCCTATAATTAGAGAGAGAGCTATACGATAATGAAAATAAGAAGAAGTTAGAGAAAATATCTTCACACCTGAGCATCGAGGGCCTTCTTGACTTCTTGCATATACAGCACTTGCTCTGGATAAACATAGTCGTATGGAAAGTACACTTCCAAGCCGTCCACATCTATTCTGCAAAATGATAAGAAAATAATTCATCGAAGAGATCAAGACACCAAAATCTTCCTACGTCTTTATACTTACAGGTATGTTCTTAACTTTCTATAAATTCCAAAGAAGAGTCTTGAGCTGCAATTAAGTGGACGGGTTTGGCCGATCGTGACCGGTCAAGCACACAGCCGAAAAAATTCGGCGGATTTATCATTAGCAGGTCTCTTGTCTAGATAGCTTTCGGATCTTCGAGCACAACATTGTCTGGGGCTTCACCTTATACTTAGAATCGAAAGCGGGTCACCGTTAACCCCTCATTACTACAATATGGTAAAAACAGAGAGTTCTGCGAATATCAAAGCATTATTCCCCAAGAAATTAAGAGGCGATGAGAACTACTACGAAGATCCACTTATTCTGAATAAGCTCTGACTTTACCGTAAGGGATCTCAGACCGCGCACAAAGGCGCACAAAGGCGCACAAAGGCGCACGAAAGCGCATGAAGGCGCACGAAGGCGCACAAAGGCCCCGTATGTTTGTCTTCATTATCGATCGCAAGCATTCGTGCGCCTTCATGCGCCTTCGTGCGCCTTTGTGTGCGGTCTGAACGATCCCTAATCCTTCCAAGTATACCGCAGCTGCGTATACCAATAGTCAAAAAAAAAAACAATTGCACAATCTAAACTACACACTTTGCGAATGGGTACAAAGTTATTTGCTGCATAAAAAAATAGCTGATCCTTTTCTGCTGTATGGTTGAGATGAAGACAGGCGATATGGTTCCTGAAGATCTGCGAAATGTGCTAGACAAAAGACAAGAGAATTACTAACGGTCTAATGTTCGTCGTGATTCTTGTGGGACAATCTATATGTTCTCCTACATATTGTCTATGGTTTTCAACAAGCACTTGTGCTTTAAGTCCACTCCTTTACGTTCATTCTCATCTTCATTCTGTTCAGTAACATAAGAATTTTGCGCATGAAGTGTGTGGGATGATTTGCATAGGGGGTACGGGAAATGCGGAAGAGCGGAGAATCGGTTCAGAACAGAAAACAGTTCGTCCCTTGATAGGTGCCTCATAGCGCAAATGGTAGTCATAACTATATAACGTAGACAATTCATAAAACAGTCACCAGCAGCATGGACTTACGAAATATAATAGAAACCCTTACTTCATCGTTTCATTTGCTGTTGATAGTCAGGTAAGGCACTTCGTGTTACGTCCAAGGAAGCGTAAATTTTATGCTGAAAATCAAAGCAGCAAAGTCTTCGCACTACAGCTTTTTCACGAGGTTTGACTGCAAGGTATTTAAATGTTGAAACATGGGTTCAAAGAGAGCAGCAACAGAAAGACGAAGCAATGCTTTAAGCATATCTAATTACAAAGAGTCACATTCTAGGTTCTATATACAACAATGAATTTCTATGAGTTTTCTTGCGCTGAGAAGAAAACTTACGACATTCTCGCAAAGTTCATCAATCTTTCCACAGGATGAGTTCGAAACGGAGATGTTATTGTAATATATTGAGAATGAAGCATAAAGTTACTCAAAGAGTACACAATAACTGATCATCGAGAGACGCATAAGAGAGGTACCAAAATGTGAATAGTCCTAGGTGGAGAACGCTTTGCAGATGACATGATTATTTACGACTAATTGATAAAGAGTCTTACATCTAGAGTTATCACAACAGATAAAATATTTCATAGACTTGGCTTACACTGTAAAGTATATAATTTGAATAAGCTATGGATGATTTCTGAGATGGAAAAATTAGGCTTCCACCTTCTTGTACTTTGGACGAGGATGGTTAGCAAAGAGCATATCTCTTGAGTAGTAGAAACCGCGATTGACCCAGTGTCCATAAACCGAAAACATCGCGGATTCAGCCTCGTGTCGAATCTGCAAAAAAAATACATGATTCTCTTTCAGATCCCATATAGAACAGAACAAAAAATATCGAAAGACAGCCGAGGTTTGAGTATTGGGGGCCCAAAAAAATTTTTCGCAGAGGACTGGCGAGAAAAAGTCAAGTACCCTAATTTCACGCGTACAAGGCGCGGGGTGGTCCTAGCTTTCATCGAGTTGCTCAGCCGCTCCAACGTGTTTTAAAAAGCGATCCTTATGCCGCACGATTTGTCAGGCAAAACGCAGCACGGTATGGGGTTCCTTTGGTTGCGAAGTCCTTTGCCGTGTTCGGGCTGGTCGATGAAAGCTAGGACCACCCCGCGCCTTGTACGCGTGAAATTAGGGTAAATTTCGGAGGCTCTCGAATGACTCAGAAGTAAAAAAGTCTTCTACACAATGCTGAAACTCCTGTAGACCTTTTCAAAGACTATCTCCTACGGCCTATCGAAGGAATGTTAAAACCGAACATTCAAAGAAGGCATTTCAAGACTAGTGACAAAGCACTCAAGCCAGAATGAAGGAGATTCTGATGGTAGCTTACTCATGTGAATGACATTTACTAATTTGTGTGGTCAATATTATAGAGATCGATTTAACATTGCCGTAAACGATGTAGGACTACAACCAAACTCACATCGCGGTCTCTGAAGGGGCGCTTCCTGAGGGATTCTCTGTCGACAACTGATTTGAGGTATTTGTATTTTTGAAGCCGGCAAAAGAACCGTACCAAGACAATCGCCTTAAAGAAGTGTCATTTGTACATAAAAGCATGCAATTTGGAATCATGATGAATAGAATGATGGCAATCGTAGCTCACCTGTTTGAACAATTTGCGCATGTCTGGCTTGTTAGTGACTTCACCGGCAGGATTCATCCAAGGCATGAGCAAACATTTTTCGGATGTCAAACGTTGCGCCACGGGAACAGTCAGCAGTCCAGAGATCTGTACAGCGATACGATAGTACGAAAAGCGACAAGAGACACAAAAAGATGCACTTTAAATTCTCGTGGGTAGATGGTGAATGTCGAGTAAGTGTGAGTATGGAACAAAGAACAACACTCTAACAAGGGAATGGTCAGAAATCGAAGTGGCCATTTCAGACAAGCTGGGTACCATTAGATAAAGCATGAAGCGCTCACTCTAAATCTCTCTTCCTTACCTGCTTATCGCTTCTCTGGACGAAGCTATAAGCCATTAAAGACCATTATTTTGCTAAGAAATTATGCGTGAAATTGAAAATTTAGCCGTACAGAGCCACGTTCGCCTCAATGCTGGGCGAAAACATGCAGCTAGCTTACTTAAAATTTTTGAAGCCAGTAGCTGAGCTAAAAGTGCAACAATGTGCTCAATTTCGTTGTTTTTATGTATGATTTTTTCACAATAAAACCGCTTGTGGCTCCGTTCACAGAAGCGGGAAGCAGATAAGGAAGACAGATTCGAAGTCAGTGTTTTATACTGCATCCAATGATATACAGCTCCTTTGGTTCGGCCACTTCGACTTCTGACCATTCCCTTGTAAGCATTTTTTGTGCAAAACTCATCGGCTTAGGCAAGCAACATATTATACAAAATCACTAAAAAAAACTAACGAGATCCTTTGCTTCCTGAGTGATGGTTGACCATTGCTCGGCTCTGAACTCATATCGTCCCTCTTGAATCATTCGCATCATGATGAGCTGCCTAAAAACAATTTTCTTGAGCAATTTCTCAAAAATCCTAGTCCCTGATTCTTCTCTCCAGTGGCACAGTTTTAGCTTGAAGATACTTTTACCGATGTTGTGACCATTTGTCAATATATAAGGTGTCTAAAAAATGTGGCGAACGTTCATCGTTAACAATTCTCTTGTTCACAATTGTTGCAAAGGTGTACTAAGAATAGAATGCGATTTTTTTACTACATGATGAAGGCTTCGGATCAACCTCATGCTGTTTCGACATATGATCTATCTATTTTTTGGGTGAAAGAATGAGAAAAAATCTCAAAAAAAAAATGGGAATATAACAGATGTCACATCCACTACGTCCACAACAGGAAAAACTCAACTTCTGTGATAAAATGGGGCATAACCCGCCAATAGAGTGTACATAATAACTCCAAGGGCCCATTCATCTACAGCAAATGAATAGCCGGGAGCATCCTCATACATCTGACACCTCAGTATCTCAGGCGATAAGTAGCCAGGAGTTCCGCATAGGTCTGAAAGTTGAACATGAAAATTGGGCGATGGCCTTTCGCTCAATCAAAATAAAGCTTCTATCTGCAAACTAAACACACCTCTTAAAGTTTCACCCTTCTTCAGCCGCGTTGCAAACCCGAAGTCGGAGATCACGATCCTTTCATCATCAATGCACAGGATATTTTCGAGCTTTAAGTCTCGGTGGACAATGCCTCGACTGTGCATGTAAGCTACACCGTCAAACAACTGCCGCATCAATTTTCTTGCCTAATATGCAAAAAGTTTATGAGAACTCAATCAAAGAAGATGATTCCAACTTTTTTCTCCGAGACGGTGACCGTGCTGTTCAACTGGTCAAAAAGCTCTCCCTTTGGTGCCATTTCGAAAACGGCGAAGAGGAAAGAAGGTGTAACGTAGAAGTCATGGATAGTGACTGAAAATTAACGATGATACATCATGGATTCCAGACAACAAAGACATTTAGCTCTCATAGTGCAGCTGACTTTGCAAGAAGCAAGGAAATGATAAAGCCAGTATCAGCTGTCACTAACATAGTGAGTGAAATCACCGTACCGGCTTGTTTAGTGTATAATTGAGCCGAAAACTCACTAATGGAAGGGTGGTCGGATATTTGTCGCAGAATTTCCACTTCCGATATCGTTTCATCTCTCAAACGTCGTGCATCTTGCTAGAATACCGGGAATTGACAGAGAAGACCTCAAAAATAAGACTTACTTCCGTTTGCTTCTCTGTGGAAACATCAACTACTTTGACTGCATAGCACTGTCCAGTAGACTTCTCTACGCATTTCCGCACAGTGGAAGCGAGGCCTCTCCCCAGCACCTCCAAAGAGATTGCAAGAAATGACGAAGTGATAGATATCAGAAAGGATACTATCGCAAAAGAAAAACAGAAATACCTCTTTAGATTCGTAAATGGCATAAAAACTACGATCTTCTGAGGAAGGAGACGCTTCGGTGGCTCCATCTTGATCATCCGTAGAACCTAAATTCAGCTTTAAAACCATATTTCGACAAGAAAACGGCGTTTTGAATAAAAGTTGCACAATAAGCACCATGGCAAATCAAGATTCTTATCAAAGATTCACATTATTACGAAGGCACACCATTGCAACCTCCCGAAGATACTCGTTTTTATTATGCTGATAAACATCCTGCAGCCGAAATCTGCGAGAGAAGCATCCTGATAGCACTTAAAGGCGTTAAAAGTCTCATCAACCTTAGATGCCTTACAAAATACAACTGCCACGCGCACCCGAGTAGGAGACTAAATGTGCCAACAGGCTCCACCCCGCCCGAAGCTGGAACAGTTTTGCAGTGCCTGCAGTATGCATGGCAGCGTGGCCTGTGGCAGATGCTCGGTTGGGACCACCCCCTTTCGGCGACGTATACCAATAGGCACAGGCCATACTGATCCTCTTGATCCGCTTCGTCAAAAACGCGCGCTTACTAATTTGTCATTTGGCGTCGCGTACAGCAAATTTGCGCAGCCATAAGAACTTATTCTTATACAGTCTGCCCCAAACAGGATCAAGCCGAACCCTCAGCGTAAATTTGCGCGCTCGCAGCGCTAAGCGTTTGCGCTGCATATGCGCGCTGTCGGAGAGAGCAAAAGGATTGACGAAGAAGCAGGCCGTGGGCGTGACCGCAAAACTCTAGCGATGCGGATTCCCGCCATGCCAATTTTGGCCTGATTGGGATTGGGGCAGACTGTATACGCGACGCCAAACAAATTACCCTAATTTCACGCGTACAAAGCGCACCTTTTTCGATTTTTGACTTAGCCCCTCAGCCGCTTTAAATTATTTCGGAGAGCAATCCTTATGCCGTACGATTCTTTCGAAGCGCTAGAAGCTGCTTACAAAACGACAGCGTCGCATCCTTTTCGCACATATTTTTTGAATTTTGAGAAAAGTTCCCGTTACAACATACTATACAATGTTGAAAACAACACGGTAGTTGACCGAAACTTTCTTGAGAGAATAGTGAATGCCTACAGTCGTTCGCGCCGGCTAGCGCTGGTGTTCAAGGCACGGCGCGGAGTTAGATTTTATAAGGCCTATACCTACAGTCACGCAGATTTTCTGCCTATATGATGGGTGTCATGATAAGACAATCTGCTTATTATGGTGTTTTTTCTGCTAATCTATATATAAAACTCAAAAATTGTCAGTTTGGAGGGTATGTGCGTTATAGAAACGCGCGCCACTTAACCGATTCAGCTGAAACTTTGCACACATATGTTTTCGACCCTTGCGCAGATGATAGGCTACTTTTTGCGGCGATTCGTTGGGTCCTTCTATCGATTTATTGATTTGTTTACATTTTCCTGAGGAATTGAAGGGTTATCATGTTCAATCAAGCATTTTCCATACTCATGTAAAAGAGGGCGGTGAAGCTCATTTTCACCTCAAGATCGCGAGGATGCGGTTTCCAAGCGGACGTCCCAAGGTAAGTCATCCATACCATATAGAGCGGAGGGGGGGGGGGCTCGCAGTGTGATGAACCATGGCCCGGGCTGGACCGGGAAAGCCAGCTTGTAATAATAATACTTGGCCGATTAGCTGCTTCAGCAGGATGCGCGCGACCAGTCATTTGATGTCACATTGGAGGGAAATCAAATAGGCGTCCACGGTCAACTTGCTGCGGAAGTGGCCGGCGTCACAGGCGCAGCTATTCCACGCGCAATTTAGCCGCATTTTCTCAGCACGGCAGCACATCATAAATGGGCGTTAGAGTAGCGGATCGTCCTGCAGAAACGGCGCATTCACTGTTATTTAATGTCATGTTGGAGTAAAAATAAGTCGGCGTCCGCGAATGCTCCACAAAAGCATATTCTTAATGATGAGGTCTATCATTCTGCTGTTGTTGCGAGTGTTGCAAACGCCGCTTCGATTTCCGTCCAACATACACCAAACGACATCAGCTTATTAGTTGCGCAGCGCCCTGCTGAAGCAGACAAACGGGTAGAGAAACGAATTTCGCCAGTTTGAATCCGTGGATTACTGGTCCTCCAACGACATGCAACAATATAGCAAAAAGACCACCCGGAGTTCTTCCCCAACCCTCCGCTTAAGGCCCCGGTCAGACTTCACGCGACTTGATCGTCGCGATCTAATCGCCAAGATTTCCATTCATTTTCATTTCACGTTCAAAAATTTCGGTCTGGAAAAGTATCACAACCGAATGCAAGTTGATCGGCATGGAATGATGTTGTAACAGTTGTCTCGTCGCGACTCAGTCGCGACGATCAAATCGCGTGAAGTCTGCCCGGGGCCTAACACGTTGACGACCGAGCCATTTTTGACCACCTCAAAATGGCTGATGAACTACGGCTGCGGTTTGGGCTGTTTAACAGCTACCGCAATGCCGTGTGTTCTATATGACAACCAGGCCACCAGTGTTATTACTGCATAGAAGTTACCTGAGAAATTTTCGTTTACACATGATAAATTGATGCACGAAAGTGCTACAAGGTGGTCAGGGCGTGCATACGCGCGGATACACACGGTCGTCAACGTGTTAATCCACTTCGCTATTATCAAGTAATTGACCAATAGCCAAGTGGATGAAATGGATTAAGTAGTATCCGCTTCGCTCTTGATCAGTTCACTGATTTGAACAATAGCAAAGCGGATCAAATGGATAATGGCGTGTGCCCGAGTATATTATAGTAGTAATCTTGGCGAGGAGTGGGGCTTTGGCAACAACAAATTTACGAAAGTTCCATCCCCAACGGCTCAACATGCCCCCCCCCATGAAGAACAAAAACGAAGAGGCGGCGGGTTTTGGAAATTCTGGGAAGTTCGCCAGACTTCTCGCAGGATCTTCAGTTCTGAAGGGGCGTGGTGAAGTCATGCCAGCCATTTCAATTTTTTGCATAATTTCGCCTAAAAATCAATACAATTACTGGGTATTGGGTCGGTGGAGAGCTTGCATAATTTTGATTTCGGGACGGTATCGCCAGACGGTATGGAGCCCTGTCCCATACACTTTTCACTATCCCACAGTTCTCGCTGGATTCTACATGTACTCATCTATAGGCCGAATTTACTACGCACGAACAAACAGACATATTCCCGATACACTTTACGTTGAGAAAGATTGCCGTTGATATCATCATTTGTAACTCAGTATGGTATTGTACAAGATGCGCGCTACTTCACGAGTCTGATCAAAGGATGTAAATTTTTAGAGATTTCTCCATATTTTTCCCTTTTTTGCTTGACTGGATCAAATGACAGTAAATGTTTTAAAGAATTACGCTAACAGAACCCTAACTAAGAATTTCTAATCATGATTAATCACTCTTCAGGAGTCGTCGGCTGCAACATACTTCGTGCAGACTCAGACATTGGATGCAACTTTGAATAAAACGTCGATCGAAAATGTTTTCGTTTATATGGGCTGATCCTTCCAGAGATTTCGAAAATGCAGCTTCAAAGCCCGAAAACATTGAGGACGGGCTTTTTAAATGCTAAGTTCATCCTTGTACGTATGGACACTGAGTCCACCAAAGCTGAGGTTCAGCCTTATAAAACCTTATGGTCCTGAGGTGTGTGCTATGCGCAATCGGGCTTCCAATTCACCAATTGGCGTCCATGTCAAAGCTTCTGAAGCGTTTTCTCGCTTCCTAAGCGAAAAGATGCACATCAATTGGCAAGAACTTTATCAAGATGGTCTGGTCAACTATGTTAAAGGGCTTTGCCAGATCGTGGGTCTGTGGGTTTGTAGCCACTTTGCAAGATGCCGAAGCCTCAAACCAATCAAAGGTACCGTCCACGCAAATTCTCGACTTCCATGTTTTTGCCGCTTCCGGGCCTTCTGTAGGCACTGATTTCGAATATGGAGTCGAGAATCCGCAAAATCGTAACAAACCCCGTTTGGTACATATGCGTCAGACCAAGCGACTGTTTGGTAGGTTCCAGACTAAGGTAGGTGCCAGAGTAAGCGAATATTTTGTTCAAGTTGGGGTCCCGCGCAGATCTGGCGTTACTAATCATTGTGGCACAACGCCAAGTTGGCATTATGCCACAATGATTAGTGATGCCAGTTCTGCGCGGGACCCCAACTTGAACAAAATATTCGCTTACTCTGGCACCTACCTAAGCGCATATTTTGTTGCATATTTTGTTCAGCTGCAAAAGGCGCACAGAATTAACGTTAATTCTGACGCGGGACCTGCAGCTGAAGCAGGCCTTAGCAGCAGCAGACATTAATTCTGTGCGCCTTTTGCAGCTGAACGATGCTGAACAAAATATTCGCTTACTCTGGCACCGGAGGGCAAGCGTTAGACGACAAAACGTGCAAAACGCAGTCAACGTAAAGCCCGTAAGTCAAAACTATGTGCAATTTTGTTTATGGCGTCGAGTAATGTATCGGCCCCCGACCCCCCACCTCTCCCTGTTTTTGGCGGAGGAGACGTTTTGCACGGGGATATTTGGGGTCCAAAAAATCGGGTTTGTCACCGAACGCCCTACACCCTCTGGCAACTACTTAGGTAGGTGCCAGAGTAAGCGAATATTTTGTTCAGGTTGGGGTCCCGCGCAGAATTGACGTCACTTGGATCGACGCCAGCATGGTGAGAGCCGTCAATTCTGCGCGAGACCTCAACCTGAACAAAATATTCGCTTACTCTGGCACCCGCCATACTTACCCCTCTTGATCCGCTTGATCCGCTTAGTCCGCTTCATGCAAAACGCGCGCACACAGCAGTCTGTCATTTGGCGCCGCGTAGGTAAAAAGGAATTTCGTATAGTTAAGGAAATTCGCTATACGCGGCGCCAAATGACGACGGCTGAGTGCGCGCGTTTTGCACGAAGCGGACTAAGCGGATCAAGCAGATCAAGCGGATTAAGCGGATCAAGCGGATCAAGAGGGGTAATTATGGCGGGTGCCTCTGGCACCTACCTACCTTTTGTCCAGCTGCAGAAGGCGCGCAGAATTAACGGCAGGTAGTAATTTGGCGTCATGTCGGGAGGAAAGCGGCGTCCTCCACACAACAAGTTTTTATCCTGTGAGTGTCTTATCTATCTCATCCTTGAAGGCCTCCACATCATCCTCCCATTCTCTGCGAGGGCATTTCATTATATTTTCATCTCCCGACGTGAGCCAAATTACTACCTGCCGCTAATTCTGCGCGCCAGCTGAACGCAACAGTCGCTTAGTCTGGCCTTTTCGAGAAGGGCGCAATGCAAGTCGCAGTGCTGCGGCACTAGTATACGGCGGGCGCGTCATCTGCAAACCTGCTAAGTGGGCAGGGTGAACGGCTGGGCGGAGTACTAGCACCAGATTACGTCCTTTCCTGAGCGGATTTCTCGCTCCAGAAGCAATCTTTTGCTGCGCAACTTGGGAACTTGCCTAGAGTGGAGCCCACGCTAGTATGCGATCACAACTTCGTCAACCCCACTTTGGGTAGACGGTGCCTTTAAACAACCTCCCGTACTTTGCATAATCGCTTCACTTAACTTGAAGCTAACATCTGCGCAGAAACGACAGCGGGAAAATTGAGAAAGCCTGATACATGACCAATGGCCGCGAACTCATTGTCACGTCCATGCAACCTTAGGGAACGGCCATAGGTTGTCGGTGTTGTCGATGTTGTCGATGTTCTCGGTGTAGTCGGGGTTGTCGGGGTCAGAGACAGTTTAGTGAGCGCGCGAAACGTGGAGGCTATCATGAGGTCCTGCAACGACTGGCAACCTGGGCAACCCCGACAACATCGACAACACCGACAACCTATGGCCGTTCCCTCACGAAAATAACCTATCTAATTTGGCATGAAAGAAGCTGCACGGCGCGGAAGGCACATAAAACAAAGTGTAGACGATAGGAAACTCACCGCGGTCATCATAGTCTGAGTCTGTGCCTAATGACATGAACCGGTCGAATCTTCAATGGGAACGTATAAATCTACCCGGTGTATCAGTAAACAAAAGGTAGTTCATAGATGGTAGCGCAAAACGCCTCTTTGCACAAGATAGATACAATAATACCTGTATTGATCATAATTGCTTTATCGCTAGCATCAACTCGCGATGGGCGCGGGGAGCACACTTCGCTGAGGATGCTTCAATTGACTACTGTATGAGAGGTGTTCATGAAGTCACCAGAGGCGCCCAATCATCTTTTACATGGTACACATACGCTGAGAAGAGCAACTGGGCGAAAACACACTAAATTTCGAAGAACACTTGAGCGATCTTCCACGAATCCACCCGCTCATTTAAAGCAGGCAGCATAGCGCAGAAAAAAAACAGATCGAATAGAAATCTATAAAGTTCCTAATGAAGAATTATAAATTCAATAAACACAGCCACTTTCACCTTCACCGGCCTGACAAATGAATGACCGAGTAGTTAAGGTGAATAACAAAAACAAACAGTGAAAACAAACGAGAACACTGTAAAAAACGAATATTGTCAACAATGGCTAGACCACACAGGCATTGTCGGCGGTCGCAAGCCTAGTGCAGAAGAATACTATACGCATCATAGCACAAAACGAAAGCTCTATGCTAAGGTCGTGAAAGTGGTTGGGATCTGATTCGATACTATAGGATTGAGGACATTAGAGGTGACAGCACATGAGCAAAGCTTTAGCATGGCACTACTCATTCTCTGTTGGAGTCATGACCACAGAAGATCCTCCTCCAAATATTTGCGCTTGCGGGAACAACGTATGAGCTTGCTTCACGAATGCGTCCAACTGAAAGGAAAAAAGTCATTAAGTGAATGTAGTATATCGTTTCCTCAATGCCCATGCCTAGACTTTCAATTAATATATCTGCTTTCGATTTGAATCCATGGGCAGATAAAGTATGTGAAGTAATGATGATGAATCCGAAAGAGCAGGAACAAAATGAGAGTTACAGCTCACCTCTTCCTTACTCCATGTTCCATGTCGTCCGTATTTGATTGCATCGTACAATTCCATAACCGTTTTCAAAGTTCTACCCGTAAGTTTCTCGTCCTCTAACGACTTTATAAGCCAATTCTTCGTGGTAGATTCACTACCAGGATCAAGGATCAAGTTGCATTCAGAAACTGAAATCAAGCTTGATACTTTTAAATTGAGAGCTATACAGCTTTCGCTTAACAATGTTCAAACATCCAAAGTATGCAAGCGAATATTTCTAAGCAGAATACGAAAGTCAGCTCTTTGATTCAGTGCGCTGCGACTGCGGAAGCACTAATACCACCCATCAACCATTCTGAACACATTAAATCATCCACAATTTCCTCCAAAGCTTTTTGCAGCAACACAACTGCTAACAAAGACAGCTGCTCTATTCTTGTTGCAATGAGTGTTTAAGAAATGATTTTAAAAAACTTCCTGTTTCCGAGATTTTTAATCAGTGTGTGAATTACTTTCTAGCATCGCATATGGCTTGAAGTTCAAGAATTATAAGAAGATCAAAATATAAGTCTCCTAAACAGGAGACCGAATAATAATTTGCTGCGAAAATCACAGAACATTGTTCTATCTTTACTTCTGAGAAACACCTGCCAGCAATTATCTTTACGTGCAACGCTAGAAAGCAACACGACTTATACCTTCCAGATTTGAAAACGTGAGATCTAATACGGAAAGAATCGTAACTCCAATTCAAAAAACATCAGATAGCAAAAAACGCAATGTGGTCCCGAAGCGCGCGGAATTCTAGCACCTTTAGGGTTATTGGTTCACTAGTAGATCAAAAAAAAGAGGTCAAGTTTTCAAATTTGAGATGTGTAAGACTTTCGGACCTACATGATACCATAATGATATCTCGAAAAAAGCGAACGAATTCATGAACAAAGCCGATTCTGCAATGAATATTACCTGCGATACGATGACGAAGACTATTCAGGTGTTGATGCTTGAAGGTCTCATTCAACGCTGTCGGATCCGTCTCCGCAAACAACTGAGAGGACATTTCTTCAACTAAACTTCCAACGACGCCAGACAATGCAGCATTCTCCTCTGTAAAAGAAATATTTTGACTCGAACCCAGTTTCAAGATCCCGACTTACTGTATTTCAAAAATTTGATGCGACAGACATGAAGACGTGGATCAGTTTCATCAAGCAGGGTAGCTTGCTTGAGGCACTTGAGCATAAGAAGTGGTTTATTCTGTAAAATGCAAGCAATAAAAGCTGAGATGTGCAAAGAGTCGAGACGATAGAAAAAAAGGAAGTGAAGAGAAATGGGAAAAAGAGAGATACAGCGTCACACATGCGAGTTATAAGGAATTTTCATGCCATGCAAGGGTGATGTCGAAAATTGTCGCTAACCTTTTTCAGATACACTTCAAAAGCAATATTGTAGGCAGTGATATGTTTGCTGCCCAGCATATGCAAATGTTGAACGAACTTGGACGCTTCATCAAGAGGCTTCTCAGTCTTCAGTAGCGCGTCCGCATCGAATTGCATGGCCGGATTCGTGTATACTTCCTTCTGATGAACAGCGATTTTGAAATAAGAAAAAAGAAGAGAAAAGTGCGCACATAATCCACCAGAAAAATACCAGCTACCTTATTCATGTTCTTTCTTTGTTCCTGTTCCTTCTCTTGTTGTTTCTTTTGCTGTTTCTTCAGCTTCTTCAGGGCAGCTGCCGAGAGCCCATCAACGGGCTCCGTTCCACCCGAAAAGTCTTGAGGGCGATCAACCATGCGAAGATAAATCTGAAAAAGTAATTGGCATGATCACTTCAAACAAGTGGTAGTATGATACGTCGTGATAAGAAAACCTGCTTAACAACACGGTAAAAAATGTGTGAGAGAGAGGAAACGTAACCGACACACAGCCTTGATGGAGCTCTAACACTGTGTAATTGCATACCAAGCAAAGACCGGAAGTCAGCAAGGGTGGCTCACTACGGTGGTATTCGTTTATTGCAAGCGTGCTCTTACAAGCGCATGAGTTAGATTGTTCCCTGGACTAGCTAAGGTTGCGAAAGAAATGTAGGAACCAAAGTTTATAAGTTGTTAAACAGATAAGTCATGATCACGCAAGAATTAAGCATTTGTGGAATCATTCGTATAAAAAACCCAGATAATATATTTCGCTAGAAATCGAGTTTTTGCCCGGACACGGCTTTTGGGGCGTCAAGAAAACTTTGTGTTTACGAAATCATACAAAAGAACATAGAACTGGGAAAGAGTGCATAAAAGTAAGACGCATAACTAACCTTTGCAGCGATTATTGCAGCATGGTAATAGAAATCGTGTGTACGGAGAACGTCTTCTAAACGAAGCAGCTGTATGTACGAGCACAACGTTGTTTTCCTAAGGCAATAAGTATGGAAATCGTATTGGTCCTCAATCATTCCTATAAAGTGCTGAAAAACGGAACAATAGTACCCTGTAAAAGAGTAATGGACAAAACCAACCTGTTCTATTTGATGCACTTTTTTCAAGGCCTCACCGTAACGGCCTTCCCTAAAGTGACAACGAGCACACTCCAACTCGTACCACATGCACTGCATTTCATTGAGAGTCGTCGAAGCTCGGTCCCCTTCCTGAAATAAATTCAAACAGCGATCAAGTATGGAAAAATGTATCAAAATTTGGAAAAACGTTGACGTAAATTATAACAGAGATTACTGCGCAAAAGAGAATCGCTCATCAAAACAGCAGTCAGCTCGACACATAACGAAAAGTGAAATTGCTAACAAGATTTTGATTGCTGTAATTCATTCAACCCAAGAAGCTTCGTGACCAAATAGATGAAAAATAGCGTCTCGGATCGCGAAACAGCGAGCAGAAGTTATGCACAACGAGCAAAATCAAAACCAAAGAAGATGCTGACAATCTTACTGAACGCACAGATCTTGCGCAAAACAATCAGCTAGCCTGACCTACTCACGACGAAATTTTCTCCAAAAGAGCAAAGCAATGTCTAAACTTTTACTCTCCTGTACCACTAGGTCCTGCTGTACCAAATGAAGCAAAGCACGATTCTATTGACAATGAGTTACTTCACACTGGCGCGAAGAAACTTGAAAAGGAATGCTGCTTACCCTCGTAAATTTGCCGCACATCTTCTCCGCACGTTCCATCTGCCCAGCACGAAGCAGGTATTTGGCAGCTTTACTGTTGATATAGCGGTCAGCCGTATCCAAAGATTGCGCTTCATCCATGAGCCTTGCCGCTTCAGAGTAATCTCCAGCATGCTAAAACAATTTCGCTCAAATGTATGGAGCATGACAATAACAAAAATTTGCAAAAGTCAACAAAAATTTTGCACACGTACAGCCAAGAGAATGTCAGAAATTTAAAAAGAAGACAATAATGGAAGCTGTAATTGAAGAGCGTTGTACCTCAAAAGGTATGCGAGCGAAAGAGCCTAGAGTGAGCACGAATGAAGTCGCTGTGCACTGGCACGATTACCAGAGTCACTACGCAGCACTAACACTTTACCTTTCATTGCCCACAAAAGAAAAAAATACTGACGAGCTAGACAGTAAAGCCTCTTACCTTATATATCTTTGCTTTTACCATTAATGTCTCTATGAGAGTAGGGGTGTGCGCATATGCCGACTCGACATATTTCATTGCCACTGGAATATTGCCAACTCGATCAAAGTGTTGAGCGACTAATAAGTAAAGCCAAAGAGCAGATGTAGGAGATTCCATTTCATCACCGTCCCCTGAAAAATTCGGTAATCTCTCCTGTCTCACTGATCATGTTATATGACGGGAATCGTCAACGCGAAACATGGGAGGTAAGACCGAAAATGCACATGACATACCATGGAGCGATCCTCCACGGTAGCCATTCGTTTCTACATGTTTCACATAATCCAGCAGTAATTGCTCGATGATGTTAACCTAAGAAGAAAAAACATTGCACAGAAACTGAAACAGAAGAACCTACCTTGCTAGGACTGCTGTACAAAGGGACTAGATTTTTGAAAAGACTAGGAACACCCTTCCGCAACCCTTTCACGATCCATTCATCAAGACGATGAGCAAGCTCCGGTCCTTCTAGCAAGTATAGTGGTTGCCGTCGAGGAGCCGCAGCACGCTTATACCGGTCAGCAAAATAGTCATACATGGCTATACGGTCGGCAATGGGAGCACCTATACGATCTGAGTTAGTACAAAAAGTGCGCAAGATGGAAAGCAAACAAAGTTTGCGCACTTTCACCTAAGCCGATGCAGTTCTCGAGCCTATCGTAATAGTCTATATTTTCCGGATTTCGATCAATGAGCTGGCGGTAGACTTTTTCAGCTTCTTCCAGCCTTCCAAGCTTCATCAAAATAGAACCTAAAATTAATTCCAGCAATTTACGGAAGGGTAAAGCAAACAAATGCACTATAGCAAACCTCTTCTTTCCATATAAGATACTTTATCTACTATGACAGTGGCGTTCTCCTCAAGTTTTGACAGTGCCTCTTCAAGCTGGCCCGCTTCACAAAGAATCATGTTCTGATAGAGGACAAGTTCCGAGTACTCGAAGTCGTACGAAGAAGGCTACAATGATCGCTGTAACTTGATCAAAAAATACTATTCCACAAACAAAACGACAGAACAGATCAATTCCACAGCTGATCGAAGATGCTCTACCTTCTTGTGATATACAGGTTATTACCAGCCGTATATGACTGAAGTAAAGCTGTCGATGCTCTCATACAGAGATTGGGAAAACTTTTAGAAGCTAGTTGAAGATAATGGCGGCATTTTGTTGATAAGCGGCGAAGTAAAGCATGACTGAAGTGCTTACCTACGCAGCACTAATATCTTGCGCAAGCACAAATACAAATGGGTAAAAAAAATTGAACATTATCACAATTAAAAAGACAAAAACAAAGCAAAGACAAAACTTTTGAGAGCTGAGCTTAGAATCATGGACAAACACGAAAAGTTAAGGCACTATCCTACCTTATTGTTTTGAATGAATTCCACTAGTATATTGAGTGCCTTCTCATAATCTTTCAAGAGATGATATGCTGTGGCGTAAGCAATCCAAGACACTTTCTGCGTTGGCCGAAGTCGCAGCAAATGATATCGAGATTCCTACATTGTGATTACAACAGAGGTATCCTGGACTAAGCAAGAAAAACCAACTTTGTATCCCTCATAATCCCTCATTTGTATCTGGAGTAATGACAGATCTCTCAAAATCTGCATGTTGTCTTTGTCAAGGATCAAAGCTCGCTTGTATGCCTAAACCGGACAGATGTCCATAAAAATCAATGAAAACAGAAAAAAAGGAATACCTTGATTGCCTCGTCGTATTTTTTATCTGACCTTTGGACAAGCCCGTATACATGCCAGCAAACATAAGATTTTAGATCAGCCTAAACACAGCAATGATAAATGGAAGACTATACAAAGAACCAAAAAGTACTCCTAACCTTCAGACCTCTTTTTACACATTCCTGTGCTTCTTGTTGCTTACCCATGCAATTCAGAATGAGCCCCTTCATTGCTAAGGTTTCTGTAATGAGTACCATGCGAGCATAAAATCAAAAATAGGAAAGGACCCACCTCCATGTTCAGCGAAATTTGGATTGCTTAGAATTGTCCTCGCATACTTTAGTCCAAAGCGATATTTCTTTTGTTCGTATGATTTCTGCAGAAGCAACAGACATTAAATGGATAAAAAATTGAAGCTACTAAACAGATAGCTCATAAAATGCTCACTATGATTTTTTTGAACAGGCCCAACTCCTTTGATGGCAAAGGCTGACTACTTGACTGACCCGGGGGAGTCATCCCTAAAACCTAAACAAATGCTCGATAATGATAACTAGTGAAATCACTATCCGAGAGAAAATACGCCGATACTTCTGAATAAAATAAAAACAGATACTAGACAACGTACTCATCAAGATTTGGAGAAGAAAAAGTCTACACCCTACCTTCAACTTGTGAAAAATGCTTTAAAATATTGAGCCGTAATTAAAGGAGGAGTTGGTATTAGAGCGCGCCAGCATTCTGCGAATCTACTGCCGTTGCGTCGCGCTTTGTTTTTGCGCTCTACCGATAGCTTGAACGAAGACGGTCAGATGGTGTAGATTTACTTATTCATTTGATGAGCGCACATAAATTTTACTTGGTATTCCTATCGGAGTGAGTTAGAATGCTATACAAGTGACCTCATCTTGTATTTCGGCGGTGGTATTTAGTCGCGATTATCGTGTTGGAAAAGCAAAACCGAAATGCAAGATGAGCTGCTGCAGTAAATTTGTAGCAGTTGTGGCTGATTCGCGAGGCGTTGAAATCGCGTGATGTTTGCCCGGCCCTTTACCTACTTCTTAATGGTGACGGCAAAACGCGGGGAACCCGAGCATAAGGTGCAAAAATGGAAACCGTGTGCCTCAGCAATAAAAAGATGCCTGGCTTCTTTCGATTGTTTGAAAGTAAAGATACTTCGCTGGCAGCTCGCTCAGAGGCTGGTAGGTCGACTGCTAACCTTAAAACGTTATCCGGAAGAGGGAGGAAGACGAAAGAAGAGAGTTGAAGGTATCCTATCTTTACCGACCCATTCTGACACAGCCTTGCTTTGCAACAGAGTCCAATCAGACAGTTGACAATAACACTGTTATTCAACAAGAACGCTAAGGTTCTCCAGGGGAGAAGAAGGGGAGGGTAGAAAAAAGACAATGTCTATAGAATTGGCGTTTTCCAAGATCCTGAACAGCCCCTAGGCCCCAACCATACTTCAAGCGATTTCGATCGCCACGCGATTTGGCAATCTGCCAAATCAATCATCGCAAACTACCAATGTATAGTGTATACAAGTTTCGTGGATCAATGAAATGCTTTATCTTCTGTACATAAGAACGCGCCTTCGAAGACTCATGAATAGTCGGAGTTTTGTGAAATCGCCTCGTGACTGAAATCGCGTGAAGTATGCCTGTGGCGTTAAGCTTTCAAAATGTGATGCACATGACTTATCGGCTTGCTCAGTCCTCACGATGATCTGAGTTTGTCGGGTCAAATTTTCTTTATTTTTTCTTTATTGTTACATCCGTTCAATATAATCTTCGAAGACAAGAACGAAGATTGACTTACACCGTTTTCTTTCCTAACTCTTTTGAGCAGTGAAGCATGCCAGAGTTCACTGAACTAAGATTTTTATTGATTTTCCGCGATTTCTGCTCAAATTTTGGAACTAAAAGGCTTCCTCCCTGAACTACAAATGCTGTTCGACAGCCTAAACAATGATGAACTTCAGTGTGCTCCTTTCTCCATAGCGACTTGGAAAACTTCCAGAACTTGATTTCTGCAAACTATAAAAGTTAATGACGTGAAACCCATTGGGGTTTAAAGAAGATGATATGTTTTGTACACATTAATGATTTTGACATATCATTAAATTCATAACTCATCACCTCCGGCAGTTCTAGAAGCTTTGATGTCGGATATACAGTCTGTGTCAATCACGAACTCCTTTTTTTCGTAAGCGGAATCGCCATGCCAGAGGGAGGTTCGCGCCAGGTTCGGATATGGCTCGGGCAGTCAAACTGCGCTCATCAGTTGGAGGTTCGTACGCAGGGCCGACGTTGCTTATGTTAAGTACGAAGGAGAGTACATAACTGACACAGACTGTACCAACAAAATTGTCATTATCACGTTGCTTTACCTACTGCTAATGCCGTGAGAAATATTCTTGAGGCCAAAATTTACCTCGGTGCAAGAATTTTCTTGGCATTACTGAAAGGCCTATTACGGCGAAAGGTTAGATGAAGAACTCTGTTCCTAACGTTATCGCTGATTACGATTATGTTGATTCAAAACTCCTTATCCTGAGTTACGATAGTTTAGCGAAGATGAGACAGATAATAATACACGAAAGTTGTTGAACTTAGATAGGATTTTCTCTCGCACAAAGAATGGGAATTCTCTTGAGGACAAGCCTTCGAGACAACTGTGTAAACCCTCAGCTTGATTACCCTAAAGTCCGTACAATAAGTCCGCCTATCAGATAAGTCCGCCCTATCAGATAAGTCCGCAGAAGAACTAACAGTTAAGTCCGCTTTCTTGACAACGAAAGTCGCCCTCGCGCCGCCAAAAGTCCTGCAGATAAGTCCGCTTTCCTATGCTCAAGATAGGCGAACTTATCTGCTGCGGACTTATCTGATAGTGGATTTAGGAGGACTTATCTGGTAGACGTTTGGCGGCGCAGAGGGCGTTTTTTCATCGATTTTTCGCGTCGAAACTGCAGATAAGTCCGGACTTATTGTACGGATTTTAGGGTAGATAGATTATTCTGCTTCTGTCGTTTTGAAGTTGATCGGAAAAACTAGAAATTCAAATTTTCAAAATCCTGCGCGGGGTATAGCGTCCGCGCTGCGCACGGAGAGCAACGCTTTGCTTACATGAAGGCAGTTCACGACTGGAAGAAGCGCAGAGAAAACAGGCGGCGAGAGTGCACGAGAAAAGAGGAGTGACGCGCAATACACAACTTGCGTACTCTTCGCGCTCTGCGCGGACGGCCTATACCGACATGTTGCTCACAAGTGACCACTCACCACAGAGGTTTTGATGGGACAGGTAAGATCTTGCCGCTTCAATGGCTGCCGCAGGACAGTATAAAAGTTCAAGTCATCTCAACAGATGTTCCGATTTTTTAATGGTGCACCACTTAGCAATCAGATATCAAATATTAGGTTGTAAAGAAAGTTCCCGAGCAGTTTTAATAATTTTATTTCTAGACTCGTTTTTTTCGCACCCGGTTGAATCTTAACGACAAATAGTTCGTTTGATTCTGTAAAATTGAATCTAAGCATTAGACTCGCATCCATTTTTCATGAATGTCAAACCGTATTTGACATACACACCGAAAATAGAATTCTGTGCACTGTTAAAAATTTCACAATTTTTCCCTCTGCTGCCATTTTTTCGCAGTGAATTAGAAACATTTAGTAGTTGGCCGCTCTGAATAAAGAGGCTCCCACTTCAATACTGCAGCTGTGCTCGGATTTTATAATGCGCGCACAAGAATTTCAAGCTCTCAAACTTGTCTTAAAGCGTATGGGTTTTCGCAGTTGGCATGGGTTCTTTTGTGGATCGTCACGTTTCGGTGAATGGCCAAAAGATGTGCAAGACATTACCCCAACAATATTTGCAGCATCAAAGATTTGATTCACTCCGTGGAAAGAAGGAAGACTTCAAACTTATTGACTCAAAAAATGGGGCATTTTTAGGGTGCAAAAATGGCAGATTTTCAAAAGAATTTCTTCTTACAGGCTCTAAATTTGTGACGTAGTCTATAAACAGCCCCAGCCGAGTTCTACATAAGTGACGGATATGAGCTCTCCAGCTGTCTTCGTGCCTGAGAGATTCGTGCACCAACAGGCCGAATTTCAAGTCGACCTTTTTATCTCTGCGCATGCTAGTGTGTCGAAATGAAAAATGCTGAGGACCCAATAAAATAAGCTTGCGTTGTAGACAACATTGCCTTTGCAGCAAAGTTTGCAGCTCTCAAAAAAGACCAATCTGTTGAAGTTATAGCAGGTTGTAAAAGAAGTTTCGCAAGTGCCCTGTAACTTTCTTTACAACCTAATAAGTCTTTGAAAAATCCACCCCGGAGTTAATTCACTTGATCAAAGGCAACATCTACTCAAATTCGGCTTTCATGTTTTCATTTTTCTGAGGCTTTTCTATAATGTTGATTTTGGATAAGAGCGATTTACTTGTTGACCCCAAAACCTTCTTTGCGGAAGCCTCTACCGGCAGAGTGAAGGGCTCCGGCGCTACTTTACTCGTAAGTAACAAAATTCCGTTCTATGCAACAGAAAATCACGTAGTATGCGTCTTTACATATGCGATCCACCGGTGGGTCGTACGTGCATTGCCATTTCGGACAGTGCGATCCACCGACAAGTCGTATCTCTAAACGCAAGTTTATGATGGAACGACTGAGAATATGTTTAGAGACATCTAGGTGAAGCTTCATTCAGAAGACTACCTTTTGGTCCATGCTATAGTTGTAGCGAACGGAAATTTTCATCAAATGAACGAATATCGAACATATGACGTTTGCAGTCTTTTTTGAGCGAATGAATATCTAGTCATTGAATTTGTACAAATTTTCCAATGAACGAATATTATTCGATTTCCGATTTTCACCAAATTCGGATATTCGAACATATGCACATTTCATTCGAACTTTGGAATATTTATTTAACCGAACTTGATTGAATACTGGACTATTCGAATGAACGATTAACTAAATAGTCGAATAATCGAATGCAATATTTGAAAACTCGAATGCAGTATTCGAATTCTCATATACAATCGAATTTTACTGATTTCCGAAACTTCTCGTATATCCCAGTATTCGAATAAGTGATTTTTCCGAGTCGTCGAATGAACGGATTATTCGAGTAACCTTTTCCATTTAGTCAATTATTCGAATAATCGAAAATTTCCTATAGTCGAAAATTTCGAATAAATTATTCGAGCAATCTTCGGTTCTAACTATAGTCCATACGACCCATCGGTGATCGAAATGAACAAAAAAGTTGGCACTAATGGGTAGTGAATCCGAAACAGTAAAAATGAATAAAATGTCGTGGATATGTCGATATTATTTCCATGCTAAAATAGCAGGGGCAATCCTTGGATGGGTGGAACGTAAAAAGGGGCAGTGGAGAACGAAGATTCCCTGCAGTGCAGATCTACTTCCGCTTATTAGGAGCTATCGGACCAACGCAGATGCTTCACTTCGAGCCTGCTTATGATGCACTTGGTGATCGGGAGAGCATGAATTCCATGGAAACGCTGCCTTCCACCTGTAATAAGTCCAGATGCTCTTGACAATTACCCATTTTCTGCTGACAAATGAAGGTCATGGGGGCAGCCTCCCCCCACCGTAGCAAAAAGCTTTCTGGTATGGGCGCTTTTTATAGAACCTACCTGAGGAAGAACAGTCGACTAACTTTGTGTTTCGGCTTATATATTTTGAGAATTCTACTTTAAGAATTCGATGTGGCACTTCTTGGACACAGCAATCAAATATTTTGCCGTCCTGCACAGAACTAAAATACGATACCTTGACATTCTCCGATTAATTTTTGAAAAAGGAGTTATAACGTTTCAAAAAAGAAACACTTTATTGTGGATGAGATACAATAAACAAAAAGAGACACTCGTATCATTGGAAAATAGGACTTTATGCTATAATATACTACTATTTTTGGGCTATTTTGATTTGTCGTAATTTGAGCGCTCTGAAATGTATTTTTTCGAGATCAGCATCGTTCAGGTTCAATTCACAAACCTAAAAATAACTTCAGATGGTGTGGCAAGCAAAACGAAGGAAAACTTGATTACCTTGGCCACAAGGAATTCTTCAGAAGTGATTTGTTGAGGTAAGTTCCTCAGCCTAGTGACAATCGAATGCAGATCCGGATACTGCTTACACTGCTCTTTTGTGCCTAGCCCATACTTGAACAACACAAGAGCAACTTTGAACAAAACTTTTGCTCCTGAACACATTAATAACTGAAAGATCACAAGCTCCCAAAATCTCATTACCTTCGCACAAAAACATATCCCATACTCGAAGGACAGTTGGCCATGGCAGCGTACGACAGAAAATGCACATAAACCATTCAACCATATAAAGAACTGGCTCCACATTATGCTTCTTCTGAAAAATCCATTCAAATTCGTAGTTAGTTCATCACTGAATTTTTACGTAGTTGGGGGGGGGGGGGGGGGAGTGGTCCACATAAATTTTTACGCTAAGCTACCCTCCATTTCCGTATGGCAATAGTAGAAGTTTAGGATTGCGGTGGTGTCAAGCCTTTGAAAAGATTTTCTTTCACAAAGCTCATTTTTGGAGGCGGAAGGGGGGTGGGAATGCGGAACAGCGGATTGCTATGAGTAAAATGCACGAGAAGAAATACTGTTCAAATCTACTATATAAGGTCGGTCGAAGGTTTTTTCCGTTTTCTTTTCAACTTATCATAAAAACACGTGGAATAAAGACAAGCAAATGCTCTAAGCACTATCGGACGCAGTTTTTCTTCCTCTTTCCAAAAGTCATGTCCTGGAAACATTTGCTTTAGTGGTTTCTGAGATAATTGCTGAAATTTCAAGCCCATGGTTTCTACTATGCCGAACTTTGGCAATTTTTCAAAACTTTCATTTTGCTTTTGAAAAAGCTTTGATAGCAGTTAGATAGCATAAACAAAGTGCATTGCAATGCAGTTCTCTCGCAAACCCAACTAGCTTCTTCTTCTTGTTAGTATTTTTAGGATAACTTTTCCAAAAGTCTTCATTTCAAAGCCGCAAAGTACGCAAAGGCTCCAAACACTAACAGTCGTCGGAATTTGAAACTTGCGAAAATTGGTTATGATAACACTCTAACTTTACAAAACATCAAAGTGTTTGCCGCTTCAAAATATCAAATCTCGCGGATACAGCATGGAACGGGTTCAAAATCAGGAATTTTGATGATTTTGTCGCCAAATACTCTAAGAGTTGGGAAGAAAAAAGGCCTATAAGAAAGGAGAGAAAATGCATAGAATGACACCTTAGATGTGCTCCGTTTGATATTCTGTGAGTTTTGGATAACCAAAAGTGGAACTGATAGCATCAGAAATATATTTCTAAAAATCTTGGAAAGCCACCTATTGAGGCCAAACATTGTATCCCATTGCACTTTGTTTATGCTATCTAAGTGCTATCAGAGCTTTTCCAAAAGTACGAGATGAAGGTTTTGAAAAAAAGCCAAAGTTGGGCATAATAAAAACCACGGGTTTGAAATATAGGCAATTATCTCAGAAACCACCACAACAAATAGTCCCAAGATATAACTAATGGAAAGAGTAAGAAGAACTGCGTCCAATAGTGCTTAGAGCATTTGCTCGCCTTTATTACGTGTTTTTATGGCAAAAAAAAAACGGAAACAGCTTTCGGACAAAAATAATATAAATAAGACTCAATGTCTGTACGCATCCGATTTATTCGTTTGTGTTTTATAGAAATGCCCGCCGTTGGACCGGTTGAACTGAGACTTCACATACTTAATATGTATTCGACCCCTGCGTAGTAATAGGCTATTTTTGCGGCGACTTGCAGGGTCCTTCTATTGATTTACTGATTTCTTTACTTAAAGCAAGGAAAATGAAAGCTTATGCTTTGAGCAATCACTTTTGAAACATGTAAGCAGGAACGATAAAGCTCATTTTACCCTCAAGCTCGGCAGGATGCGGCATTTCGTCTCAAAGCGCTTTCTGCGCGCAATAAAAGTTGATAAACCAATTTTAGGGTCTCGGGTGAGACCGGGACGGCTAATTGTGCACAAAGACGGAACTCTGCCAAATGAAAGAACTTCGTCATTACCGTGGCGAGAAGCTGACTCAAAAGCAGTACGAAAGAAACCCTTTTTGCTTGTTTTCGGGACCAAGAGTTCAGTACAGAAGTAATGTACGAGTAAACGCCAAAAGTGTGGCCCGCCTTCTAAGCTCTTGCGTACTTTATTAGTCCTGAAGAAGGCTTTATCCTCAAGAAGACTTGGCGGGTGAGACTTACCCTAATTTCACGCGTACAAGGCGCGGGGGATTTTTTTCGAAAATCGACCAGCCCAAACACGGCAAAGGACTTCGCGAACAAAAAAACTATATACAGCGCTGTATATTGCCTGAGAGTATCATGCGACAGAAGTCTCGTTTTCCGAAACACAACGAGGCGGCTGAGCGGTACGTTTGAAAAATCGAAAAAGGTGCGCCTTGTACGCGTGAAATTAGGGTATATTATGGATAGTGGTCCCAGATATTTTGACAGGATTTTTGAGACTACTTCGCTTTGTTGCACTTTGTAATAGCTCACTTACAAGGGAAGGATATATAAAGTTACAACTAGGAAATTAAAGACGTATCTACATATCTAAATGCGTATTTGAACTTTGACAAATCCACTTTTCTTTTCTGCGAAAAAACTCTCTAAACGAAGTAAAGAGGATCAATCTGAATTTGTCAAGCCTTGAGTGGCATAAAACTAGCAAAATTTACAAAAACACCTGAGCGGACTTTGAATGGCTTGGTTCTTTCTTGTAGTCGATAACTTAAAACAAGATTGATTATCCACTTCCACGTGGTTTCGTACAGTTTTCACTTTTATGCCACGAGTCTTGACAAAATTGGACTTTCAAACGCACTTCTTTCGGAAAGTTGTTAAGCACCAAAGGAAAGCAGGTGTAGAATCAGCGTTTGAAGACGCGTCTAGAAATGTACCCTTTTCGATTGCCACCTCAATTTGGTAACCTTCTGTTATTAAATGCACCGGTCAAAGACAGTAAAAATTGGATGGAGTGGTCGGAGAGCAGCACTAATAAACCCATTGTTCGATCTTGATCTTGCTGAATTCTGGAAGATTGAGAAAGCTAGCATTTTTAGTGGAAAAAAACTTGTTCCATATGATTTTTCGCACAACATAGGTTTCAGGCTTAGAAAATGTAGCAGAAATGTATAGCAGGGAAGGCTTCACAACAGAAAGCCCAGAAACAATGTCGCTTATCTCGGCCACCCCCACTGAGAACACTATTTATTAGCTCTAAAGACAAAAGCAATCAAACAACATACCAGATGCTGGTAACTGATCTTCGATTTGTCTTTGAGCAGTTGAACAAGAATATCTCCATCAACTTGTACAGCCTCCTGATATAGTAGTGCTTTCATAAGTTACGATGTTGATGAGATAACTTACAAGGCCGGGGCTATAATAGTCCGGGAGATAACGATGGCAGATTTGTACAAAACAATAAAACGCATCTCTTAAAGAAGTGACTCAATCAAAATACTGGAAATGCGATGTAAAACTAACTTCAGGGGCATATGCATCAACAAGACAGAAGCTACAGGGGCCTGCCCCTGACAATAGCCCTCCTCGGGATGGAGGACTGTCCATGCCTTTAGAAGTTGGAATAAATCGTCCTTTCTGAAAAGAAAGACAGATAAGAAAATATATGAATCAATCATACCAACCCTCCATCGCCGTATTTCCCATAGCGAGAAAACATCTCATGATTCGGAAATTGTCGATTGAGGTCCTTCTCAATGTCATCTATCCATTTTGGATCTCCAACCTGCTCTATGCACCTCTGGAATCAAGGAAAGTACAGTGCACCACAAATATTCACGTTATTTTGTAGCCTCACATCAAAAACCGTCCTGTTAGGCGATACTTCCATCTGATATGTTGCACCGCACAAATACTTCCAGGCCTTCCCACGCACAGATGGAGGGATGCCTTTCCTACATCGTTTTCGAACAGTTGAGTACCTCAAGAGTATTCAGTGAATGGGATTCATGCGTTCATTAGATGAAACATGAATAATACAGACAAGATAAGTAATGGGAGATTCGTAAGACCGTGACGACAGATTCGACCGCGCTCTTTGCGCTTACTCAAGGTTAAGTGCATATAATATTTAAGCATTTTAGCACTCGGCTTGTCACTTCAAGTGTTTGATGGCCAACACATGCATATAATGCTTCGAAAAGAGAAGAAAACAAAGAAAGTAGATCGTTAAAACTCATACGCGACGCCAACGCCGCCACTGTCACGATTTTACGAGTGACTAATATATAGAAAAACACCATTGCACTACAAACCAAAATTACGAGTTCCATGAACAGATTTTCAACTAGCAAAAGTGACAAATTGGTGAAGAAGTAAAAAAGGCAAGAAATGATCGTAAACCCTCACTTTTCATCCATGAAGTAGCGCCAGTTGTCCATCATATGTATCCATTTCATTTCACGACTTCTCAGTTTTGCTACATCAATGGTTGGCTCAAAGCTATAACAGAAAGGATCTTATCCTTGTTAGGCCTCTGCAGAGTTCACGCGATTTGATCGTCGCAATTCACGCTACAGGACAAGTGTTACGAGTTCATTGCATGCCGATCTTTCTGCATTTCGGTTGTGATAGTTTTCCAACACAACTAATCGACTAACTATCACAACCGAAATACAAAAAGATCGGCATGCAATGAGCTCGTAGCACTTGCCTTGTAGCGAATGAATCGCGAGTTCAAATCGCGTGAACTCTGCCCGAGCCCTTAGACATATCAAAGACAAACCTCGGTCCCATCGCGTCTTGCTCAACAAAGAATCCAAAACGATCTGTCTCAGGAACAGCTTCTTCTTCTCCTTCTTCCGCTCCTTCCTCCAACAATGTGCTGCAAGCGCGGCTTGATGTGGACCTCTCATCTTCAATCTGAAATACAGATTCTAGAGTGATTACGACTAACAACAGATTCACCTCTCCAGGTCGTTCTGGTCGCTCTTTCTTGAAAGGAGGTAGGTCATTGGCTATGACATGGTTGCGTTCAGGGTGTACGCTGGACAGGATAGGTTCATCCGCGTTCAATTCTGCATCAGAGGATGCACACGGTTCTGGTGGGCAGCTGACTGTCAACCGTTCCGAGAGTGCTTCCCCAAATGATGAAGTGCTCGCCAGAAGCGCAGGATCCATCTCCCAAGGAGGCAAAACGTCAAGAACTCATTGATCTAAAGCAAACTTTTCAGCTTTTCTTCAACGAACCCTAACCTAAATGGAATTGGAGACATCCTATACACTTTTCCCCTTGAGATGACGACAAAAGCATTAAAAAAGGAGAGCTGTAGACACACTAGTATGGAAGCAGACGTGATGTTGCGCATAGTCAGTGCATTACGGAACTCGGCCTTCTCATAATTCGATGACGAATCTGCGCATGAATCATCAAGATGAGCGCAGTAATGACTTAACACGTTGACGACCGTGTGTATCTATCTGAATGGATACCGCCCGGACCACCTTTTAGCATTTTCGTGCACTAATTTATCATGTGTAAACGAAAAGTTCTCGGGTAACTTCTATGCAGTGATAACAGTGGTGGCTTAGTTGTCGTATAGAACCCACGGCATTGTGGTAGCTGTTAAACAGTCCAAAACCGCAGCCGTAGATCATCAGTCCATTTTGGTGTGGTCAAAAATGGCTCGGTCGTCAACGTGTTAAAATCACTAGGTGGTTACATTCTGTTGCATGTTTCCCAAATTGTTGGTCCCTCCTAGCTGTAGAGTATGTGGAGATTTGCCGAGTTTCTCAGCGCAAAGGAAGATGGAGAGCTCTGATGAGTCAAAATGCAACGGCTGCAGTGTAGGACGCCGTGGGTGATGGACGGCGAAGTATCACCAACGCACCTGACGTAGTAGATGTGTCCATATCTGGTCTGGATTCGTTTTCGACTTGAATACACCTCGCGATGTGCGAAGGGAGAATCCAAGTTTAAAAATGGGGAGCAACCGTGTGAGTTGTGACTTGGCGGGATTAGGATCACATCGGGATCTTGTCGACATGCCACCTCGAAAGCACGGTCCACCTAAATCTGATATTGGGGTTCTGATGCGGCACAATAGCGAGGCTCTAGTCAAAGGACTATACCAAAGCGAAAAAATCGCCCCAGTAGATGATGCTGCTGGGGAGCCGCCATGCCCATCGACGTGGATAGTTTTTTATCTTCGCATGTGCCCCGCTTGTGAGGGTCTGCTTTTCTTGTCAGACGTCTCCATGTCGTCCTCTCTGAGGCAATGTCTTCGTCTATACCAAGTTCTCGCAGGTCGGCCTTGAATCTGTCCATCCACCCCATCTTGGGTCTACCTCTGGATCTTTTGCCTGGTGCCTCCACAGCCAGGGTTGACTTCGTGATGTGGCTTTCCTTTTTCTGCGCACATGCCCATACCATCATAACCCTTTTCCTGCATTTTCTGGACAATGCTAATTTCATTTAGCTCGTATAGTGTCATTGCAGATGTGATCCTTCAGTGTGCCTCCTAAGGTCCATCGTATAGCATCCTTGTTTCCATGACACTGAGCTTGCGCTCCTCACTCCGCGTACATGGCCAGCACTCACTGCCATACAGTGCTGCTGGGCGGATAACGGTCCGGTACAGTTGGGATTTGAGTTGCACTGGCATTCTTCTGTAGCACAGAACTCCTGTTAAGGCTCTCCATTTCATCCATGCTGTGTTCATCCTGCCTGCGACCTCCTCTTGTAAGCCTCCCTCCGCTGGATGTGACTGCCTAGGTACTTGTATGACGTTGTTTTCTTTAGCTCTTCGCCATAGATGCTTGTGGTACCAGAAGTTTGTTTCCCCAATTCCATAAACTCTGTCTTCCTGGTGTTAAGTTTCAAGCCATGCAACTCTAGCCTGTTCTTCCAGTTTTCTACCTCGTTTTGTAGCTCCTTTCTGGTACTGGCTATCAAGACCACATCTTCTGTATAGAGAAGTGTCCAAGGACCACATCTGAGCGGTCCCATCACGGCGTTCATGACAGTGATGAAGAGCAAGGGAGAGAGAACTGAACCTTGGTGTAATCCAACCTTGATTTGGAATTCTTTCGATTGCCCTGCAGCTGATTGCAGTGGCTTGACCGTTGTAGTAATCAACTTTACCCACTGAACGTACTCCTCTGCCACCCTGTGTTTCCGTAAGGCTCACCATATGACTTCATGAGGCAACCTTATCGAAGACTTTCTCCAGGTCCAGGAAGGCTGCATGCAGTTCCTTTTGATTCCCTCTATACTTCTCCATCACTATCCGAGCGGAGTGGATTGCGTCAGTTGTACCTACTCCTTTCACGTATCCGCAGTGATTTTGGGACAACTCTATGATATCTCGAAGACGCGATTCGATTATTCGCTCGAAGATTTTTAGGCCCGTATGCACGTACATGCGGGGAGGGGATGTGCGTTTTACTATTGGAATGATCCCCGCTGGGATTCCCCTCCCCTCCCCAGGCGAACCCCCGTATGCGCGCAGACAATATCGGCGAAGGGATCCCCTGTGGGGAGCGGAGGCGAACCCCTTATGCACAAGAGGGGATCAAGCGGGGAGATCACCTTGCTTCCAAATTTTCCATGGGAAACACTTCTTTATTTTCATTTTTTGACTGCAACTCATCTTATCTCCACGATTTCAATAATTAGCGTTCTCAGACACTCGCACCGGCCGGCGACCGTTCGACGGCCGGCTGGTGGGACCACAGGTGATTTCACTCAGCCGCGTAGTCTACGACCACCGGCCGGTATTCGGACGGCCGCCGGCCGGAAAGGTACGGCCGCCAGCCGGTATGTGGGCGCCGCGATACGAAATGGCCATGTGACGCGGTTTCTCTTTTTCCGTATTTATTTCGCTCTGCCGCCTATCCTCAATACAAGCAAATACAAATCGTATGAATATATTTATTGTAACTGCATCATATAGGGAAACATACATAAATGAGATTGAATAATAGCGTAAAGTCTCATACAACATGCAACTAGCGCTACAAATTTGGACGCTTCTTTTTGTACACGGAAGACGAGGTTTTCTTGCATAGTACCATCCATTCGCGACAAGGGATCGCATATCGTCCTTCTGCTGATTCCGGACTGAAAAAAAAGTTCACTTTTGTATCATGTAAATGCCACATAGCAGACGATCTGCAAATGAGATAAGCTACCCTCGATATCAACCCATATGTCTTCCCTCAACATAACGTGAATTACATGGATTTACATGGATTGGTGAGGCGCCACCTCGCTTCAAGCTTGCGCCACGCGTTGCGTGCGCCTCTTTGGCATGGTGTGGCAAGAAGAACAACATTATTAAGCCTGGTCTATCTTATTTAGTGCACCAGGTCACGCCAAACGATGCGCCCGCAATGTGGCGCAAGCCGAAGCGAGGCGGCGCCTCACCAATCCACATAATCCACGTCATTGAAGGAAGACATGTGGGTTAATACCGAGGGTACTTACAGGGCTTTACAACCTGAGTGTCCCACCCGCCCCGCTAGGACGCCACGCTTAGGCCCGCGCAGCGTTCGTGGCGCTGGCTGCGCGTCGACTGAAGCTTGGCGAAATCGGGGCGATACGCAGCAAACGCCGCGCGCGGCCTGAGCGAGGCGGCCGCGTTGGAGGAGCCGCGCAAGCGAAACTTGCGACTCTCAGGTTGAAAAGCTCTGTACAAATGATCCCGTTAACACCAAAACTTACCGACGGTGTTATATATGACTGGGCAGAGCAAATCAAAAAGCTCAAGCAATTGTAGCAGACAAGTAATGAACGTTGTTTTCCCTGAAACACACAAGGACTAGTTCCAAATTTTTGTTAAGAACGCACCTGTCTTGTGGAGTCTATACTAGGAGTTAGGCGTAAGGTCAGTAGTCTTGCAGCAGAACACAAACTAGATAGATTCCAATTCCCATAGAAATGTGTGACATGTAGTACACACGTAATCCATGAATGCATAGTGCTGAGATACATAAAGAGTTAGTCGAAAGGTCATATGCTCCATCATGGGTAAGGATGATAAAAAACAGCGAGTACAAGCAATGGTGCGCTGGTTGCATAGCGCAAGATCTCAATACCATGCATATCGCATTCGTCTCCTGAAAAAGATGGTTATGAAACGTGCCCATTCGTTCTTTTTTGTTTAGTCAAGAAGCTGAGCGAAATTCAAGCCTTGTACCCCTCAGTCAGTATGTTCCAGCTCTGCGTGTCACTTCTTTATCGCCATACAAGACAAGCAACAAATCTGAAAAAGGCGCTACACATGTCATTGGGATTTTCTTTTGATTGTGAAGAGGGCGGTATTAGCAAAGATAGAGTAAGATCACTACGGAATTCTAGGTATTTTTGAGTGACAAGCATACAAAACCTTCTTCTAACGATAAATTACGTAAACAAGACATGAATGAAGTAGAAAAATGGCGCTTAATCATAAACGAGGAGAAGTAGAGCGTTTGCTTACGCGGCTCAATCATGCAACTTTCAAATCCCGTTCACTTCCCGCGAGATGGCAATGTTACCGGCTGGCGGCCGTTCGAGCGGCCACCAGCCGGTAGATTTCTTTGGAGCGGTCGCCGGCCGGTATCTAGCTCCGCCCAGATTTAAAGAGCGGCCGCCGGCCGGAAGGCCGTCGTCGGACGGTCGCCGGCCGGTGCGAGTGTCTGAGTTGCGAAATGCGCGTATGCCGTGACTGCGCTCGACTCACCAAAAATGATCTTTTCTACTCCCATTATGTTCCTGCTTTCAATGATGCTACCCACTTTCGCTCATGCTGCCTCATTTCAGCGTAAAGATGTTAAACAATAGAAGTCAAGGTGTCTTTGCAGGGGAATGGGTAGAAGACATTATGCTGCCGAAAAGGGGGGGGGGTGCCGCGCGGACACTCGGAGCAGTATTTTGACACATAACAGAAGCTGCAAATCGTATCAGCTCTCCGAAGGCTGCAGCTGTTAGCGATATATCTTCCATTACCTCAGGGGAATGATTCCTAACGGTCATCCCTACTATGCACGAGGGGAACACTGGGGAGGGGATCACTCCTCCGGGGATCTTCACTCAGAAATAGGCAAATCTGCTAATTTCTGCTTTTTTTCGAAGCAGTTTATGTCAGGATGTCAAGATAAGGGCAACTTAACACATGATATTATAGTTACAATGTGTTTGATCAGCTTACATGGACAAAACTATCTTTCATATAAAGACTGCGAAAATCTCGGGAATGACCAGAAACTCCTTCAGACGTTCGAAATTGGCAGATATATGCTCGAGTCTCTTTGCGAGAAGCGAAAATAGAAGAGAGAGGTAAAATTGCAAACTACAAGTCGCTGAGAGAGGAACCCGGCTTTCAAAGAAACTTCTTCGTCGAATTGATCGAAACGCTTTGTAATGACTGATTGAAACCAGAATATTCGCTTCTCTGACATGACTTACACTGTCGAATCCCTACTCCTTTGTAGGGGACGTCGATCCCCTCCCCTGCGTTTTTGAGTTAGGGCCGCATGCACTAACATCCCCGCGGGGAGGGGATCGCAGCTTAAAAGAAAGCTTTATATTTCGAAACTCCAGCTGCCTGGATTTCACGTTGTGTACCTATCCGTAAGTATTCCTACTATCCTTTACTATAAACTGTTGAGGAGGAGCGAGAAGCTGTACAAACAACATTTTCCAGCTTTTATATGATCCCTCATGATCCCCGGCGCTTCTCTTAAAATTCATTTTTCTTTCTCCGAAGTTAACGAAAAACCTCCAAAGTTGTGCGTATTATCTAATCCGACAGTGCTAAGCATGTTGCTGATAAGAACAAATGATGTTTTGAAGTCATGAAATTTCCGATGATCCCAGGTCGAAATTTGAGGTTTACTGAAAAATTCGACTTTTCAAAAACTCATTTGTTCTCACTAGCAACATGCTTAACACTATTGTGTTAGATGTTCAGTACAACTTTGGAAGGTTTTCGTCAACTTCGGAGAAAGATTACTTTAAAGAAAAGCGCCGGGGATCATCAGGGATCATACAAAAACTGGAAAATGCGGTTCGACAGCTTCTCGCTCCTCTTCAATATGTTCATAGTGAAGGGTAGTAGGAATACTTACGGATAGGTACACAACGTGAAATCCATGTATCTGGAGTTTTGAAATATATAGCTTTCTTTTAAGCTGCGAACCCCTCCCCAGCGGGGAGGTTAGTGCATGCGGCCCTTAGATTCGTGCATACGGGGAGGGGAAGGGAAGGGATCTCCACTGGGCTTCGTTCGATCAATACCACAGCAAATGCTAAATTCGAGGCAGCGAAACAATACCGCAAACTCTCAAACGTTGGAAACCATGAAGACTACAATATGCTGCGAAGTACATCGTCACAACATAATTGCAAAAGAAAATCTTAACGAGCTAAATAGACTCACTCTACTTCAAAATCAACATACTACTGACAGCACGTAGCGAGTATAACGAAGCTTTAGAAACAGTAATGATACGAAGAATAAAAGAGCGAAGGAGGGAGAAATACGATGAAAGAAGTGGGAGAAGATTGAGAAAGGGACAAAAGCATGCGCCTTTAGCACTTTTGTGCATTTTGTTCCAAAGGTCATTCTAGTACACAAGAATTGATCAAAAATAACTTCCGGCAAGTTGTTGTGGTAGCCGTGAGGTAGAAACAAAACTACCGCTATCATACTGCTGGATTCCCGCTATAAGTGCAGGGGCAGGGATCGCTCCCCTCCCCTCTGTCATAGCGGGGTTCAGTAGAGGGGATCGTTCCCCTGGGGATCCAGCTCCCCTCCCCTCCCCAGTGGGGATGTACGTGCATACGGGCCTTAGAGTGTGGCTCATCAGTCGGATTGGTCGGAAGGATGAGCAGTCTCCTTTGTTCTTCTGTATCGGGATCGTCGTGCTGGTGTACTCGTCGCGGGGCATACCTTGCTCCTTATGATTTGATGGGGACTTGTTAGCCATGCGGCTCCGGATTGTCCACATATTTTCCAGAACTCGCTTGGTATGTCGTCTAGACCAGTCGCTTTGTCATTCTTTGTTCTTCTTATAGCTAGCCATGCTGGAGGTGGTGCAGGAGGAACCAAAGCCCTTGCCGCCTGTCAAAGGGGAATGGGGAAGGCAGAGGAGGCTCCGCCCATCGCTCCGCCCACGGGATGCTCTCATTGTGTGTTGAGCAAGAATGGTGGATGGACTACCGGATATTGATCAAATCTGATGGATTAAGAGGTTAAACCATGGATTTGGAATTTGGGAAATGGACAGTAAAGGTTCTCAAACAGGTTTTCAGGTACCAGGATGATAATAAAAATAGTATCATGTCATAAACCTAATATATGAATAGAGTAACCATCTTTCTAAGTCAATGTATGGAACACCACTACCACTGAATTCTTTTCAAACTTTGTTCAGAATCGAAATGATGATACAAAGCCTAGAAAACGACCAGAAAAAAGTTTGATTCAAAGCAGGGGAACATAAGCCGAAAATGAAGTTTCAGAGTGCTTCTAATAATAACTTTAACAAAGAGACTGAGAAATTCTGGATACTCAGATCCAAGAAGGACGTAAAATGCAAATGCAAACATCTTATGCCTGAGAGGAGGCTCAGTAAAGCTTCACAGCTCAGATTTGAAGTGCGAATCAAACCTGGACAATTTTACCCAGCTGGCAGTTGTCGAGGCATAGGATTAGAGAAGTGGGACAATATTAAATGGAGCGAAACCAATGTAAACTATTATAACAGACAAGTTTTGGTGACTTCTCTGCTTTTTCCAACTTTTTGACCGATTCTAATTTTGCAACTCGAAAATTTTTGATGAATAATTTGACATCTACTTTCGCAAATCACCTTTTTGAAACAATTGTGCAACTCGAAAATTTCTGATGTAACTTGTCATCTACTTTCGCAAGTTCACCTTTTTGAAGCAATTTTGCAACTCGAAAATTTCTGATGAATAACTTGTCATCTACTTTCGCAAGTTCACCTCCTGAAACACGACTTTTCAACGGCTTTCTCGCGAATTTTTCTCATCCTTCCTCTCCCTCCCCCCCCCTCAAGTAAAACACTTTGGAGTTAACAAAGAATAAAGTCTTCTCTTGAATTATGACTTTCTTGGCTCATCAGATGACTGGCTTGATTCTGTAAAGGTCAAATAATCGGCTATCGATTGGCTCAAATGCAACTAACGCAGTGACTATCGTAAAACATTGAGAAAATTAGCTGAGGAAAATAAAATGCAATATAGAGTAAGTTTTCCGCGAAGCCATTTATAGGAGTTCATGAAAAATTTCCGAAGCTTTTACCCATCTAAAAAATCTTTCATCAATTCCAATCTTTAAAAGAATGATGGATTGCATTGATATGAATTCATACAAAAGTGCATTCAAAAGATTCGCCTTTCAAAACTGGTCACATATTTGTTTTCCCCTTCTCTGTATCTCCACTCCAAGTCTTTTAAACTAGACCTTCCGCGAATTCCTGAGCAAAAAAGGCAAAACCCAGGCTCAGCGGGGGGCGGAGCTTGGAGGGTTGCCAGATCCTTCTTGGTACGCAGCCAGCTCCTCCCCTTTCCCTCTGGGATACAGGGGTCAAGAGCTCTGGTTCCTCCTGCACCGCAGCCATACTTCCTGTTTCGTGACTGCTGGTACTAGTCCTTGTATGGGAGTAGCTTCTGATATGGGGTTGATGGTGGTGCGGTCTGTGGTGGCCACTTCTTCGAAATAGGTTCTCCATCTCTCGGTGATGTCTTCTGGTTTTCTTACTAGGAAGTTCGCAGAATCAAAGCGGCCGATTGATATGTGGTATATACCCGGGCTCGGGGCTCGGAAGGTTAGTATCAAATGTGCACCCATTAGCTGCGACGTGTTATTGTGAAGCAAGTTATAGCTCCCTGAAGTTTTTAGCGTATGCCTTGTAGCGAACGCATAAATGCTGCGGTTGTGGTCGTGTGGAGTAATATTATATAGACTTTTGATAAAGTTTAACTGTCAAAGCAAGAAGTCTGCCTGGAAATATTGCATATGAAACATTGGTCGAACGGTGAAAAACCTTCCCGTAAGCCGTGTGTGCCTTTTTTACTTCAATAATAGGTAAAACAGGTATAAAATGAAATTTCAAAAGAACGCAAAAGACGTGGACAGCAACAGGATTCGAACGCTCACCGATCACCTGTGAGTCTGAGACACTAATTACTAACCACACGACTACAACCACAGCGTTTATGCGTTCGCTATAATGCACACGCCGAAAACTTCAGGGAGCTATAATCTGCTTCACAATAACGCGTCGCAGCTATTGGGTGCACATTTGATACTAACCTCCGGAGCCCCGAGCCCGGGTGTATACCACATATCAATTGGCCACTTCGATTCTACAAACTTCCCTAGTAAGAAAACCAGAAGACATCCGAGAGATGGAGAACCTATTTCGAAGGAATGGCCATCACAGAGCGCACCACTATCAACCATCAACCCCATCTCGGAAGCTAGTCCCATACAAGGACTAGTACCAGCGGTCACGAAAGAGGAAGTAGCTAGCCATAAGAAGAACAAAGAATGGTAAAGTGACTGGTCCAGACGATATACCAAGCGAGTTCTGGAAAATATGTGGACAATCCGGAGCCACATGGCTAACAAGTCTCCTGATCAAATCGCGGATTGCGCAATGTTTTTTGATAAACTTACTTTTTGATAAATCGAACTGTAGAGTCGCAAGGGCTTATTAGTAGTACGATAGCTGTTCTAATCTGTTCATCCAATCTTTTCTAGTCGGTTTGTATATGTTCTATTGGTGTTTAAATGATTTTACTAAGTTTGATTAATTCATATTGAGACCAAGCGAGCGGGCGACTGCACATGTGGCCGCTATATAAGGTAACTAACTTGGCTCAAATGAGTTTTGACACTGTCTTCACGAGGAGTGCGGTCGGATCAACTTAAGGAGCCAAGTCGAAAAGACGTAATTGGTCATCAATCGCTTTGTTTGGGCAGAACTTAATCTGCTTTCGAC